AGTTATGATAAGAAGGCCCATCAGGCTCTTACTCATAATTACTCCTTTTCCCCATCCAAAACCGGTTGTGCTTTCCCTATGGAATCCAGAACCAACACTCATAGCTCTAACAACATACTAAATGTAATTTCCAACATATTTATGGCAGTGTTATCAAACCCTGCCCAAGTTTTACCTGACCACGTTGCACATAGAATAGCTACAATACAGATTACCTACATCTATAAATTCTGCTGTTTCTGCTGTTTAGGATAAGAAGGCCCTTTTGGAAATAATTGTAAAACATGAAAAGTACGATGGAGATTTCAGGAGATTCATTTCTCGCAGCACGAGCAAACTGAAATAATGATTCCCCTGAAAAATCTCCGGAACTTAACCCAATTGTTACCATTTCGCTGCCGCCTGGCGATCCGGAAATTGAAAAAAATTTATTCCGAATTAAACCAAAGTAAATGGAATAGACCGGCAGGTACCCTATCTCTCAAAACAACCACCCGAAACTGGCAAAAAGTATTAAGGGTAGGCAGTGTTACATTGAGACGGATAACCACCCATACATTGTACATGTGTCTTTGAAGGACTCCCAGACATCAGGTACAATGTTCCTTATGGAAAATGTCATAAAAAAAATGTGAAAATTGGTCGAGTAAAGACGCTGGGCAGAAACAGAGTGTCGGTCGAGTTCATGTCGCATCAGGACGCTAATAGTTTCCTAGTTAATTGTGTGGTTGCGCAAAATTACAACACCTCAATCCCACAATTCAACATTACAAGAATGGACATTGTGAGGGATATCCCCGTCGAATGGACCGAGGAGGAAATTATTGGCAATATCAGGCTGGATGTGAGATTGTAATCAAAGCAAGGAGAACGAACAGGAAGGTGACTTCCTTAGACGATACAGAATGGAGGCCTACCCAGACTGCAGTCATCAGCTTCGTTGGCCAAGTACTACCAAAGATAAAATAGATAAGAAGTTTTTTGCTTTTATTCGGCTCTTCCGGTAGAAGTGTACTCCTACCTAACAATACAGTGCTACAACTGTTGTCGCTTTGGACATACCCGCACACTTTATCGCTCGAAACCGCGCTAAAGTGTGTCCAGAACCATCCTGGTGAATGATGCAAAACATCAAAGAAATTTGCTCATTGCGTTAATTGCGATGGAAATCATTTCGCCAACCACAATGCTTGTCCGGAACTGGGCCGCAAGAAAAGCATCAAGAACTGGATGGCGGGAAAATCCATATCCAATGCGGAAGCAAGCCAAGTATTCCCTGCTGTCAAAAGGTCCTATGCCGAAGTGACTATAGGTAAATCAATGACTCCGTAACATCGCGTATAAAAAAAAAAACATCTCCACAATCAAGAGCATCTTATAGAAAACGGTACTCCTTAAATCAAAATCCCATGCTCCTCTCTCTCCAAGTTATGATAAGAAGGCCCATCAGGCTCTTACTCATAATTACTCCTTTTCCCCATCCAAAAACGGTTGAGCTTTCCATATGGAATTCAGAACCAACACTCATAGCTCTAACAACATACTAAATGTAATTTCCAACATATTTATGGCAGTGTTATCAAACCCTACCCAAGTTTTACCTGACCACGTTGCACATAGAATAGCTACAATACAGATTACCTACATCTATAAATTCTGCTGTTTCTGCTGTTTAGGATAAGAAGGCCCGTTTGGAAATAATAAATTGTGAAAAATGAAAAGTACGATGGAGATTTCAGGAGATTAATTTCTCGCAGCACGAGCAAAGTGAAATAATGATTGCCCTGAAAAATCTCCGGAACTTAAGCCAATTGTTACCATTTCGCTACCGCATGGTGATCCGGAAATGGAAAAAAATAATAATTCCGATACAAACCAAAGTATAGATATAAATGGAATAGACCGGCAGGTACCCTATCTGTCAAAACAACTACCCAAAACTGGCCAAAAGTATTAACGGTAGGCAGTGTTACATTGAGACGGATAAACCCCCAAACATTGTATATGTGTCTTTGAAGGACTCCCAGACATCGGGTACAATGTTCCTTATAAAAAATAACACATAAAAAAGAAAAAATTGGTGGAGTAAAGACGCTGAGCAGAAACAGAGTGTCGGCCGAGCTTATATCGCATCAGGACGCTAATAGTTTCCTAGTTAATTGTGTGATTGAGCAAAATTACAATACCTCAATCCCACAATTCAACATTACAAGAATGGGCATTGTGAGGGATGTCCCCGCCGAGTGGACCGAGGAGGAAATTATTGGCAATATCAGGATTCCCGCTGGATGTGGGATTGTGATCAAAGCAAGGAGGATGAATATGAAGGCGACTTCTTTAGACGGTACAGAATGGAGGCCTACCCAGACTGTAGTTCTCACCTTCGATGACCAAGTATACCAAAGAAAGTTTTTTGCTTTTATTCAGCTCTTCGGTAGGACTGTACTCCTACCCAACAATACAGTGCTACAACTGTTGTCGCTTTGGACATACACGCACACTTTATCGCTCGAAACCGCGCTACTTTAAGTGGGGCCAGGACCATCCTGGTGATGGATGCAAAACATCAAACGAATTTGCTCATTGCGTTAATTGCAATGGAAATCATTCGCCAACCACAATGCTTGACCGGAACTGGGCCGCGAGAAAAGCATCAAAAAATGGATGGCGGGAAAATCCATATCCTATGCGGAAGCAAGCCAAGTATTCCCTGCTGTCAAAAGGTCCTATGCCGAAGTGACTATAGGTCAATCAATGACTCCGTAACATCGCGTATTAAAAAACATCTCCGCAATCAAGAGATTGTTATAAAAAAAAACGGTACTCCTTAAACCAAAATCCCATGCTCCTCTCTCTCCAAGTTATGATAAGAAGGCCCATCAGGCTCTTACTCATAATTACTCCTTTTCCCCATCCAAAAACGGTTGAGCTTTCCATATGGAATTTGGGACCAACACTCATAGCTCTAACAACATACTAAATGTAATTTCCAACATATTTATGGCAGTGTTATCAAACCCTGCCCAAATTTTACCTGACCACGTTGCACATAGAATAGCCACAATCCTAGATTACATCTACAAAATTCCTTCCTCTAACACTTCTTCAGTGGAACATGAGGAGTACTCTTCCCAGAAAGAGTGACTTACTCCATTTAATTGACAAAATTAAACCGGCGATTTGTGGCATTGTTGAGGCATAGTTGCAATCGAGTATTAATTTCGGGATACCATGTTTCAGCTTAGCCAGACATAACAGATCTGATGGTTATAGATGATGTGCTTTGTTAGTTAATAACAAAGTCCCTTCACCGATATCCCTCTACCCAACGTTGGCGATAAAATAAATTGTCACTATTAAGGCTGAGGACATTAATATTTTCATGTTTTACATTGCTCACACACATATTGAACATTATTATTTGAATCAAACTTCCGTCAGTGGCCCGATATTAGCAATGTGTGACCTCAACTGTCATCGCTATATATGGTGTGAGATAGCGAAAACATAAGTACCGAATTGGTAGAAATGCTGGGTGAACTCAACTTGTGTGTCACCCGGCGTAACCCGGGAAAAATAAGCTTTAAAGAAAATAGCTTCAACGTCGCGTCAGGAAAACCGGCGTTGAAGAACCGAAAAGTGCAGATTGGAATGACTCCATGTGGAAATTCACAATGCGCATATTGATTGTCCACAAAGGTTCATGGGATTGCATGGAAGCAGTACCCAAAGAAAAAGATGGAGACGAGAAAAAATGAAATGTGTCTACGAATGTTACATCTCGGCATTGGTGACATCAAATAGAGTTCTTAACTCAAGAAGACAGCAAGGTGAGCAGGAAATTCCGCCACTGCCAGCTGCTATTATTCCACCCGGCGCCCAACCGGCAATGAACTTGTTAGGACATGGACCTGCAGATGTTTTACTTGCTGAGGCAAGGCCTACAATTGAAGGTTCTTTCCGGATGGAGATACAATCTCTGCTAGACTTAGAATATGTCCGGAACTTATGTGTAGAGTAAATACTGTACTTTTCGATTAAGATGAAGAAGCTAGTCTAGAATCTGTTGAAGAACAGGAGACAGCACTAATAGTTGCCAACAAGAGTTGGAAGAACGAATGAAAACCAAGTAATAGTGGGACGATTCAGAATAAATCTAAGCATAGATTTGAATGTTATAACTGTGGGAAAAGAGGACATATTTAAAAAAATGTCGCCTTAAAAAAAAACAAACCCAGAAAACCACAAAAAGAAGCCACAGACATGATGGCATTTGACGTAGAAGTTAGTTCCTATGAAAGTGAAGAAGATGCTTGGACTATGGGTAGCGGTGCGTCAAATTATTAGAATGCAAAGAGAAAATATTGGAAAACAAAAAAAACCGCTGGTCGGATTACCAAAATTCTTCCACTGATAGATAGCTACAATGTTCCTGAGTGCTATAGGCTATAAATTATACTTGATTTGCGTATTTCATTCGAGGTTTAAACGCTGCTGTTTTCAAAATTCTTGTTACACTACTTTTATATGCAACTAATATTATACAGAGGAAAAAGTAAGTTTGCATGTAGGGGTAATCTTTGGAACCGCTGGTCGGATTGCCAAAATTCTTTCACTTATAGCTACAATTTTCCTGAGTGCTATAGGCTATAAAACATCACGCTACAATCAAATAGAGCCGAGCAGCGAGTGAAACCGCGCGGGAGTAGCTAGTATGCAATATACAGCTGAATACATATACATGGTAAACATAGGTAAACTAGAACTTGAGGTCGTGGTTGCGCTCGCTTCTCAAGCTGAGCTCGAAACCTGGCAAGTACCAATGTAACTTTTCCGAGTTATATGTACTTTCTACAATTATTTAGACACCACTGACATACAGTGAAGAAACATCGAAGACATCGTGAGGAAACCTGAATAATTTCTAATTATAAGTTTGAAACCACCAACCCGCATTGAACAAGTGTGGTGATTAATGCTCAAACCTTGTCTGTGTACGAAGAGGCCTTTGCTCAGCAGTGGGCACTTATAGGCTGATGATGATGATGATGATGACATATAAACTAACTCATACATACATACTAAACTGTTGCAATGCATTGATTTATAATCTGCACAAGATTTTTATTCTCTAGGGCAGCCGCTATCCTCTCCTTGTCTGCAAGCTGCTTGTTGACCGCATGTTCGGAGACGTGGGAACCCTCAGACACTTCTACGGTGACTTTGAAACGACTCGGCAAGGCTCGGAGGAGACGGACACGGATTGAGAGACCTGGAAATACAATTGTTCTAGTTAATACACAAGTGGGTACTTATATCAATAATTCGGTAATTTCCTAGGTTTTTTTTTATATAATAGGTCGGCAAACGAGCAGACGGATTACCTGATGGTAAGCAATCAGCGCCACCCGCGGACACCCGTAGCGGAGGAGTTACGAGTGCGTTGCTGACCTTTTAGGGATTAAGAATTTGGAGATTTAGGAACTGGGGAGGATTTGGGAAGGGGAAGGATTGGGCCTCCGGTAACCTCACTCACACGGCGAAACACAACATTGTGGTTGTTTCACGGCGGTTTTCTGTGAGGCTGTGGTATCACTCCGGTCGAGCCGACCCATTCGTGCTGAAGGATGGCTCTCCCACACTTTTTGGTCTTGGTCATCATCTTCAGCCTATAAGTGCCCAGTACTGAGCAAAGGCGTATTCTCACACAGAGAATGTTTGAGCGTTAAGCACCACGCTCGCTCAAGGCATTTCAAATGTTGGTGCGGTGGCTGTTTAACTGACTACCGCGCAACGTGTCGCGGTTTCAATTTCCACACTGAATCAACCAATTATTGTTCTGGGTCTGGGTGTGACATGAATGTGAGATTGTAGGTACAGCTCTCGCCAAAATTTGTGACCGCCCTGAATATAGTCGCGAGTCCGAACTTACGCATTGTACAGTCGAGTGGCCAATACGTAATCAACCAAACAATTTTCGTTTTCTAAAATTTTTAATACTGGTTGATTACGTATATACTAATATTGGTTACTCGCGACTGTATTCAGGACGGCTACAAAGTTTGGCGAGAGCTGTATGTGTGTAAATTGAAACACAACACAGGAGAAAATTCTACCGTAGGGCAACTTAAAAGAAAACTCTCCATTGTTGCAGTTGTCAATGGGCTGACCCAATTTCTTACCTGAAGGTGATTGGTCTGCTTGTTTCTGACCCATACTATAAAAAAGGCCTGTGAATGAGGTTATCCAAATGGTAACTAACATCCATCTATATTTGCAAACTTTCTTAGCATTCTTCCGATATAAGAAAGTCGAAAGTCGGTTGTGGTGGCGCGGCGGTTAAGGAGCCCGCCTCTCTTGCATGAGGGTGAGGTTCAAAACCTGACAAGTACCAATGTGATTTTTCCAAGCTATATTTACTTTCTATGATTATTTAGACGCCACTGACATACGGTGAAGGTAAACTTCGTAAGGAAACCTGGACTTAAAATTTCTAATTATAAGAAATTGCCAACCCGCATTGAGCAAGTGTGGTGATTAATGCTCTAACCTTCTCCGTATGAGGAGAGGCCTTTGCTCAGTAGTGGGCACTTATAGGTTAATGATGAATAAAAGATATGAGAAAGTTTTTGAGATAGTGTAGATGTATGTTTGTTGTTCTTTCAGCAAACATGGCTGGACTGATTGATCAAATATTGATTTTAAAAACTCTGTATGAAATCTCAACATACGACAGCATAATGTTTCAATAAGTTAATTATGTAATATATATTTATAGTATTGTTAAGTTTTAGAAAATATAGTATTGTATATGTTTATATGGGCCTTCGATGCCTGAAATAAATGGACAAATAAAAATAAAAATAAAAAATAAATAATGTTTTTATGTCAAATAACATATTTATTTCTGAAAAATCAACTAGAATAAGTAAAAATTAAGAATTTATATCGGCAAATTAATGAATGAAAGTATGTTAATAAGGTTATGTTTTAGTAATTTTATTTTATTTTGCTAAGAAGTATATTTAGGGCTAATTATAAAGTCCAGGTTTTCTCACCAATGTTTTCTTTCACTGTTTGTCAGTGGTGTCAAAATCCAATCACAAAGTTTAGTTGTCTAGCTCAGAATAAGTCACATTGGTACTTGCCAGGTATTGTAATGCACACACTCATGACACGCGGGAGTCTTAGCAAGAGCAAGTCTGGGCAAGGGCCCATTGCTATTGGCTAAACACAAGTATTTATATTTATTTATTTATTTGGACAATCAGTAGTTGTTACATTAATACTTAACTTAACTTAATATTATTTTAAAATAATACATAAATGCACAACATTTTAAGATGTCACAGCATGCATCATAAGGTAACACTGGTTTTATAATACCCATTCAGTAATTTAAAAAAAATTTAAATAATAAAATTAAAGAAATAATAATAACAAAACAAGAAATAAAATGAGAACAAAGAAGAAATTCAGTTCAATTTAACGATCTTGTTTTAATCGTAACAACTCTAAAACAACTTTTTTGAATGTGTATAGCTTATCGCCGAACACATCCACTTCACCGCAAATAGAATTATATGCTTTCGACAAGCGATTTATTGGAGAAAACTCTAATAATAATACAGTATAATAATAATAAACTCTAATATAATTAAAGTATAATATAATACATAGATATGCTACGGCTACGCATGGCATAGCTTGCTTGAATAGGTGCTTACATGCCTCTATGCTGTATTGCATGGCATAGCTTGCTTGAAAAGGTGCTTACATACCTCTTTGCTGTAGATGTAGATGTACATTTACGCTGGAGTACACTAATATGACAATATTTAAGTGTGGGAGAGCCAAGCTTCGGCACGAATGGGTAAGCTCGACCGGAGTGATACCATGGCTTCAATGAATACTGGCATGACCACAGCATAGTGTTTTGCCATGTGAGTGAGGTTACCGGAAGCCCAATGCCACCCCTTCCCCAATCCCTTCCTGATGCTTATATCCGCAACCCCTAACCCCAAAAGGCCGGCAATGCTCTTGTAACTCCTTTGATATTGCGGGTGTCCATGGGCGGCGCCGATTGCTTACGATCAGATAACCAGTCGGCCCGTTTGCCGACTTATAACTTAAAAAATGACCCTCGACTATCTACTCCTCAAGTAGCCTCAACGCAACTAACCTCATTTAGCACACTTTTCGGAGTGCAGTGTCACCACCCATCCTCACACCTCCCGCAGTAAAGTCTATGTCCGTGGACAGCAGTAGCACGTATGTAGCTATGCGCCATACCACGCTATACGCAGTCGTGGGTCTTATTCGCGAACTTCAGCAGAAACGTAGACCCACGTTGTCAAACCAATTATAAGACGCGGCTAAAATGACGTTCTTAGCGTCGCGTAGCGCGCCGCAGTGGGCCCGCGCCTTTAACCTGATGTTTGATGAACGGATTTTTGACTTTGACTTTGATTTTCAACGAAAATCTTACCTATAAGGGTAGCCATGCTGCAATGTGGTATGGTTGGTGTAAAACTCACAACAACCGTATTATCCTTATTGTCCACCTTTATATTACTCTCTTCTACCACCCTAAGCTCTTCCAGCGTCAGAGGGTGCTCCGGATCATTGATATTACGTATCAAATCAAATATTTCACGCTCGTCAAATAAATCTTCAATGTCTTCGTTATAGTCTTCTGAAGTCTTTTCCCGCTCCGAACCCTTATCGTACACGTTCGGGTTAACATTGTCAGCTAGTTTCGTCATTTTTTTAACAAATTAACGTGCTTTGCGACTTACAAAATGAGAAAGAACTTTGTTTTCATAACCTCAATGTCAAAGATATTGTTGTAAGTTGTGACAGTATCATGTTCGTGTGGAAATTAATTAATTGGTCTGAGTCGTTTAAAAAATCCAAGACCCAGAAGAATACTCAAATTAAAAAGGTTAATATAAAAATAATTAAATATTTACTAGCCGTTGTCGACTACGGTGACCGTTTCTTTACTCATTTAATGGTGTCTATCAAACTATCATGGGATCTCATGTGGCTAGAAAATCCACGTTTGTTCTTAAATATTTTCGCACAGAATAGACACAACATGGGCAACTGCCGCTGGTGTTCGGGTTTTCTTGTTAAATTTATTAGTTAGTTAACGTTTAGTTCATAGCAAAATAAAAATAACGAAAAATTTAAAAACAAACACTAGCAATTTCTAAACGAATAATCAACTGACATCCTATGCGTTTCAAATTGTAACCATTGCTTTGGTTCAATTTCCATCATAGATATATCGCTTACTCTTTTACACTACAACAATAATTCGTAAGCTATCTTTTTTACACTGCAGATAAAGAACCTGGAACGCAATCTTGACAGTAGAATTATAAGATCAATAATTCCACCTAAGTTTCAATTAAACCCTTGTTTTTAATCAAAAAATATTGTGTGGGGCGTATCATATCGTACAAAACAACAGAGGAACACAGGACACGTAAGTTAGCATATTACATTACACTAAAACGCGTAAACAATCTTATAAAAACCCAGCTTCCCAATTAGAAAGTGCCTTTATCTAGATTCATCTAAAATTGTTTGTTTTTCGATTACAACTCAATGTTAAATTAGATTTTTGGTGAGTATAGTCAGTGAAAAATGACTCTACGTATCTAAAAATCAGTTAAATGTGATAGAAATGCGAGTTTTTACCACATTTCAATGACTTTTCCTCTGAAATTTTTTGGGGTGGTATCTAGGGGCGTTTAAGACATTGTGACGTAATTTCACCCCTAATGGGGGTGAAAGGATGAAAAGGACACATTACTCTATACATACACTTTATAAATATCTTGCTTTTGAGTGTAAAACCCTACGAAAGTTTATTTTACTGAAACTAAATGTATAAATTTACGAATTACTTATTTACTGTGTTACTCATGCTAATTCCACAAATACCTTATCCTGATAATAAGGAATAAAGCAAAAAAATATACATCACATTTTGTAAAGTTATTTAGGGGTTAGATATAGAAACTATTAAAGTAGGTAATACATACATACTATTAAAGTAGGTAATACATATAAAGTAGGTTTAATCTTTTAAAAAACATTGTATCACATTAATATAATCGCATGTTAAATAGAAAAAAGGACTAACTCAAAAATGAGGATATTCCAAAATTGAACCTTATTATTGAAGCATAATTTTTAAGATTGAAATACTTTATTTTTTGAGTTAGGCCTCTTTTCTGTTTAGCAAACTTATGTACAAAGATGTACAAACATGTCACAAAGGCTTTTGATAGGGTGGACAATTTTATCCCTGATTTCATTTATACTATACTAGCTTTTGCCTCCGACTTTGTTCTTGTGGAATAGTTACTTCCTGCAGATTTTTGGTATAATAAACACTATCCTATGTCCTTTCTCGAGTTCCTAACAATGTCTGTACGAAATTTTACAGAAATCGGTTTTGTAGTTTAGGCGTGAAGACAGACAAACAAACAGACAGAGTTACTTTCGCATTTATAATATCATTATGGATGTTTTAATTATAAAAAAAAATGTTACCCCACACTAGGATTATCTCCTGTGTCATAGGTGCGTTTAAAAACATACAATTTCACGTACACATCACACCCAGACCCGGAACTACAATTTGTGGATCACACAAAGAGTTGTTTCATGCAGGAATCAAAGCTGTGACACATTGAACTATTGTGCAAAGCCCAACCACAAACAAATTGTCAACTATACCGTTAAAGTAGGCCTTATATGTAAAATATAAATGAATGAATGTATAACTGTTTTCATTTTTTTCTTAAAAAAATACTTAAAAACTGAAGACATAGCCCTACAAAATTGCTTACAGAGTTCAACTGTGAGATCATTGTGCATCATCATCTGTAAGTGCCCACTGCTGAGCAAAAGCGTCTTTTCATACAGAAAAGGTTAGAGCATTAATCAACACACTTGCTCAATGTGGGTTGGCGATTTCAAACTTATAATTAGACATTATAAGTCCAGGTTTCCTCACGATGTTTACCTTCATCGAAGTCAGTGGTGTCTAAATAATCATAGAAAGTACATATAACTCGGAAAAAGTCACATTGGTACTTACCAGGTTTCTCACCCTTATGCATGAGATGCAGGTTAAGGTACCATAACCTCCGAGCTACCATGACTAGAGTCACCGCGGCCTCGGCTCAGAGCAGGAGAAGGAACAGGAGGGTTTTTAGTCAGTAAGAGTCTGACACTCTCTCTCGCCTTACCCTGGGCGTGAGAAGTCATTTGATGATATATCCACGACTGTAATTATATTTCTTCACACCATGTTCTTCAATAACGGTTGCTCTTTATTTAACCCTTATTCAAAATGTCCTCCTACCAGTGACTTGTCTGAAACAATAAGTCTTTATTCAATCGATTAATTCATCAAACCCCAAAAGAACGCCGGCGATCCCACGTATTTTTCTTCTGTTGTGTCTCGAATGACCACAATTAGAAGGTTGAAACACCCGCATCAAAATCCTTTGCGTAGTTTAAAGATTTAAGCGTACATAGGGATATAGGGACAGAGAAAGCGGTGTTTTATACTATGAAGTGATTTGGTCGATATCTGTCCGTGCGCCGTTTACCGGCTTCTCTCTTCTTCTTATCTAAACTACCCAATCAAGTTTTGTAAGTACCTACACTACCTGTTTTACGCTACCCTATCCTACCTACCCTACCGACAAATTGTGATAGGTCGAGGGCCTGAGCAAAGATGGCGCTGAAAATATTCCATTGTACAAATTTGACTGCCTTCAAAACAATGACAGTCCATAGATATTGTAATATTATTCATTCAGAATGTAGATAATATATCAAAGAACGAAACTAATCAAACTTCTCTATACAGAAGTAGTCTGTAAACCGCAGAAATAAGGTTTATAATCGAATGCAAGAGAGCGGTAACAGGTTGTCGCTTAGGGTTTGAGTGAATGGCGCAGTGCGTAAGGCACGGCAACCGGTTACCGCTTGGGGTTCGAAGGGTCTACCATAACCTTAACTTCTCTACCTACCCTCTCCACCTAATCTACCCTATCCTATGTCTTTCTCCCAGTTTTTAGCTACCTCCCTGCCCATAGATATTCGCAACACCACAGAAGTTACCTACGAATGCGTTTCGGGCCTTTTGGTAATTAGGGTTTCGGAGATTAAGGGGTTGCAAAAGGGAAAGGTGTGTTTCGCCGTGTGAGTGAGGTTACCGGATGCCCAATCCTTCCCCTCCCCCAAACCCTAAATCTCCAAATCCCTAATCCCCAAAAGATCGGCAACGCACTCGTAATTTCTCTGGTGCTGATGTTCATGGGCGGCGCTGATTGCTTACCATCAGGTAATCCGTCTGCACGTTTGCCGACCTATTACTTAAAAAAAATATTTGGCTGCACGGCTGGCGCTGTTGCTTTGAAACTAGCTGCCGTGCAACGTGTCTCAGTTTCGATTCCCGCATGGAACAGATCCAAAATTTGTTGTTACTGGTCTGGGTGTGATGTGTACCTATTTCAAATTGTGTTTTTGTAAACGCACTCACGACACAGGAAAAAAACCTCATGTAGGGCAACGTTTAAAATAAAACTGGTACATTCACGACACATATGCTATAGTCTCTTTTAATCACAATTTAATTAACTAGCTAATCTCACGCGGTTTCACTCGCTGCTCGGCTTCTACAGATCGTAACGTGATGTTTTATAACCTACTAGCGGCCCTTCCCCGCTTCGCACGGGTCCAACTATCTCGCTATCAAAGGCTCACTTTTTCCTAATAAAACCCCTCTTCTTTTCTAATATTTTCTTTAATAAGAAACTTCTCCTGACAATAACAAACACAAGAAAAAAAGATTTAGCAAAATTGGTCCAGGCGTTGTTGAGTTATGCGCTTACCAACACATTTTGCGATCCATTTTTATATATTAGATAGCCCTCAGGAACATTGTAGCTATCTATCAGTGAAAGAATTTTGGCAAAAGATTACCCCCTACATACAAACCTTACCTCTTTATAATTTTAGTATAGAAGTATAGATAATTCATTCCACAGCAGTATGGCGACGGATCCCTGGATAGTGCATCCTCACGAACATGCAAAATTCGCGGAACACTTTCGTAACCTCGGACCTGTTAATGGACACCTTACTGGAGAACAGGCCAAGAGGTTCATGTTACAGGTAAGGATCTATCAAATTCACGTTACAAAGAAACTTGATTGAAAAGGAGTAACCATGGTGTTTCTCGCTCGTTCTTCTCCATAGGAATATACGCTTTGGAACGAGCAAATAGCTTCACTACAGGACTGACCGACAGACTTTGTTTGACGGTCAAAAGTACCTGTAATGGTATAATTAAAATAAATTAAGAATTTGATTGTGAGACTGATTGTAAAAGAGTAACCATGGAGTTTCTTGATCGTTCTTCTCCATCGGAATCTACACTGTGAAAGGAGCAAATAGCTTCACTATAGGACTGACAGACAGACTGATAATACCTTTTTTATTTTGTATGACGTTCAAAAGTGCCTTTGAAACAATGAATTACTTTTTGCAAATAGCCCATATAACAGCAATTTTACACGTCAACATTACATAAGTACCTACATATTGAAATAACAAAGAATCTGTATGTGAAACTGATTGTAAAAGGGTAACCATGGAGTTTGTTGCTCGTTCTTCTCCATCGGAATCTACACTTTGGAACGAGCAAATAGCTTCACTAGAGGACTGACCGACTACAGACTGTCATTTGTTTAATTTTACACAGAAGGGGTTAATATTTGGCGAATTTTCCTAGTATATATTCACCCCTCTTCTGTTTTTTTTAATCGATTAGGTGGCAAACGAGCAGACTGATCACCTGATGGTAAGCAATCGGCGCCGCCCATGGACATCGCAATACCAAAATCTGTGTCTATTCACCTCGTTTTACCGTTAATGTCACACCAGATTTCTTGCTATGCTGGTTGCAAACTGACACTTGCGTGCCTGTCATCAGAACGGGTCCACTTAAACTGGTGTAGTTCTTTCCACAAAAGACCACTACAGAATGAACTTGCACGGTTCTCTCACATTATATTATTTTTACATTGTCTGGACTTGAAAAGAGTCGGACCTCTGAGTTTGTTTCGCCATTTCTTCTCAGAGTAGTCAGATAGGAAATGCCGGCTTAATCTAGTTTTTCACATATAAATTGACGTTGTAAAAGTGCCGTTTTATGGCCTATTTGCAAAAATAAATTCATTGTTTCATAGTAAGTTATTATTTTCTATAAATTTTCTCATCATATCACCAGTCCCAGCTACCGCCTCCAATACTGGGCCAGATCTGGTCTCTAGCAGACACCAACGCCGATGGGAAGCTGGATCTACGCGAATTCTCTATTGCATGCAAGGTGAGTTTGTCAATTTGTGCATTTTAAGTAAATAGGTGCACCTAGCTTCACTGACGAACAGACTGACAGACTACTATTCTATTTTGACGTTTCAAAAGTACCTATTTATGGTTTAGTTGGAATAAATGATTTTGACTTTGACTTTGAAACTAGCGACCCGCCCTATCGTCGCACGAGTTTAGTGCTGATACTAAATTTCTAAACTATTTTATTGATGTTATTATACATATAAACCTTCCTCTTCAATCACTCTGTCTATTAAAATAAACCGCATCGAAATCCGTTGCGTAGTTTTAAAGATTTAAGCGTGCATAGGGATATAGGGACAGAGAAAGCGACTTTGTTTTATGCTGTGTAGCTTAATTAGGGCCAAAGAAGGTACTGTTTTTGGATATTACTGTTTTTTTCCAATTGAAACGATTGTACGGATTACCTGATGGTAAGCAATCAGCACCGCCCATGGACAACCGCAACAACAAAGGAGTTACGATTCCGTTGCCGACCCTTTGGGATTTTGGAGATTTAGAGATTGGGAGAGTAGAAGGATTGGGATTCCGGTAACCTCACTCACACGGCGAAACACAACGCTGTGGTTGTTTCACGCCGATATTCTGTGAGGCCGTGGTATCACTCCGGTCGAGCCGACTCATTCGTGCCGAAACATGGCTCTCCCACACTTAAAGATTTCTTCAGACATAAGATCATAACAGTGATAATATTTTGATTTCAGATAATAAACCTGAAACTTCACAACATAGAGATCCCAAAAGTATTGCCGCCATCTTTACTTGCCTCCTTAAGCCCAACTGCAGGTAAGAAACCTTCTTATATGTATCGATCTCTGGTTACTATAAGCGCGGGTCTGCGGACGGCGAGTAAGGGCAGCTCGCCGCCCGACCAGAACCAGACCCGAGCGTACGGCGCGTAGTGTTCCGCGCGCGCCTCAAAGAGCCAATAGACCACCACAGACGGGGCCCTATAGGGCTGATGTTCAGCCTGGTCGAGGTAAGCGCAATGAGGCACCGCGACCTCGGCCCAGAGCAGGAGAAAAAACGGGGGTTTTTAGGCAGTTAGAGTCTGACACTCCCTCCCGCCCGGCCCGGGGCGGGAGAAGTCAATTGATGATATACCCCTAACAAAAAAAAATATACCTAATAAAATACTCGTGTCTAAATATAAATTACCTTACTACTCCGAAACGGCTGCACTGGTATTAATAACCTTGCTAAGATTTAGTGATCATTTACTACTTTTGGTTTTCGAATTGAAATGAATTCCAATATAATATAAAATTATTTCTTATTTTTCAGCCACCCCAAAACCGGCCTTCGCAGCCCCGAGCCCAGTCCCCGCCCCGATAAGACCCCCGATTCCCCCCATGCCAACCATACCTCAACAACCATTAATATCCGGTTTATCTTCCGCCCCACCATCAAACCAATCACTTTTAGGCGACCTCGTAGGCCCACCCCTAACTCAACAACCCCCATTGATCCCACCCCTTAACCCACCCAAACCAAACGTTCCAGACTTAATTTCCGGCCAACCGCTAGCCCAACCATTGATCTCTCAACCTCTTGTAGGTACTCAACCGTTAACCTCTCAACCGATGAATCCGCCTATGGGACAACCTATTCTACCACCACAGCCATTAAACCCGCCATTGACTCAACCTATTATCCCTGCCCAACCTATCATTCCTCCTCAACCGATTATTCCGCCTCAACCCGTCAACCCTCCGATTCAACCTATCATTCCCACGAACAACTTAATCGGTCAAAATCCTCCCTTGATTCCAAGTTTACCAACGGACTCGTTTTCAAACTTGGTTCAACCAATTGTTCCTCAAAATAAGGCCTTTTCGTCCCCCCCGGAAGTACCAGTCACTGGTCAGTCCCCGTTGATGTCGAATGCGGCGCCTGCTCCGTCGACTGTTGGGTCTCTAGTCACGAGCCCCCCGGCCGGGGTCAGTAGTCTCGCTGGGGTCATTCAACCAGTGACTTCGACGCCGTTGGCTGCTATGAAAAGCGATAGCATGTCTAAACCGGGTGAGTTTTGCATTTTGTTTTTAGTTAGTGTTATTTATAACTTGCTACTCTCGAGCTGTTTCACTCGCTGCTCGGCTCCTATAGCTCGTAGCGTGATGTTTTATAGCCTATAGCCTTCCTCGATAGATGGACTATCTAACACAAAAATAATAGTTCAATTCGAACCAGTAATTCCAAAGATTAACGCGTTAAAACAAACAAACAAACTCTTAAGCTTTATAATTTTATATTGTACTAGCTACTCTCGCGCGGTTTCACCCGCTGCTCAGCTCCATTCAATCGTAGCGTGATGTTTTAAAGCTTATAGCACTCAGGAACATTGATCTATCAGTGAAAGAATTTTGGCAATCCGACCAGTGGTTCCAAAGATAACCCCCTACATACAAACTTACAAATTTTACCTCTTTATAATATTAGTATAGATAGATTAATATACATAATAATGTTGAGATGTAAAAGTGCTATGTTTTAAGATCTATTTACAAAAATAAACAAAAAAATAAAGAATAGAATAGACGACTTTATCGACATATAAGTGATAAACGATTGTCGTCCTTAAATTTACTAGTGGTAAAGTTGATATTTCCCCACTCTTTCCAGGTTCTTTGGTAACTAGTCCGACGGAGATGCCAATGGGAGTGATGAGTCCCCCAGCGGCCGTCGAATGGGGGATCCCTCAACCACAGAAGCTGAAGTAAGTAATCTAAATTATTATACAGTTCAGGAGAAAATCTTAAACTGGGGCTTAATCCTAAAAAAATATTAGGGATAAGGATTTCGGATACTTAAGGATTGGGAGTAGGAGGGGAGGGATAGGGCCTTCGCTTATCTCACTCATACAGCGAAAAACAACGCTGTAATTGTTTCACGCCGGCTTTCTATGAGGCCGTGGTATCACTCCGGTCGAGCCGACCCATTCGTGCCGAAACGTGGCTCTCCCACACTTAAAATTATTAGTCATAGCTACTATCGCGCGGTTTCACCCTCTACTCAGCTCAATTTGATCGTAGCGTGATGTTTTATAGCCTATAGCACTCAGGAACATTGTAGCTATCTATCAGTGAGAGAATTTTGGCAATCCGACCAGCGGTTCCAAAGATTACCCCCTACATACAAATTTTACCTCTTTATAATATTAGTATAGATAACATCTACCCCCCTCTTTGGCAGATACACCCAACTCTTCAACGCGACAGATCGAGCTAAAACCGGATCTGTGTCTGGCGCCCAAGCTCGATCTATAATGTTGCAGTCCAGACTCGCTCAGCAGGCGTTAGCTCAAATCTGGGCCCTGGCTGACCTGGATTCCGACGGGAAATTGGGTAAGAATTCCTACTAGCATCATCATCATCATCATCAGCCTATAAGTGCCCACTGCTGAGCAAAGGCCTCTTCTCATTGAGCAGGTTTGAGCGTTGACCACGCTAGCTCATGGCGGATTATAATTAGAAATTATAAGTCTAGGTTTCCTCACGATGTTTACCTTCACCGTATGTCAGTGGTGTCTAAATAATCATAGAAAGTACATATAACTCGGGAAAAGTGACATTGATCCTTGTCAGGTTTCAAACCGGGCGTCCTCATGCACGAAAAGGGGGTGCCTTAATTTACTCGCCATCACGATATAGAAATCTTATTAATATTCTATACTAGCTCTTACCCGCGGCGCCGCTCCCATCATTTGAGTACCTACCCTACTCTACCTACCCTACCTACCCTACTCTACCTACCCTACCCTACCTACCCTACTCTACCTACCCTACCTACCCTGCTCTACTTACCCTACTCTACCTAACATACTCTACCTACCCTACTCTACCTAACATACTCTACCTACCCTACTCTACCTACCCTACTCTACCTACCCTACTCTACCTACCCTACTCTACCTACCCTACTCTACCTACCCTACTCTACCTAACATACTCTACCTACCCTACTCTACCTACCCTACTCTACCTACCCTACTCTACCTAACATACTCTACCTACCCTACTCTACCTACCCTACTCTACCTACCCTACTCTACCTACCCTACTCTACCTAACATACTCTACCTACCCTACTCTACCTACCCTACTCTACCTACCCTACTCTACCTACCCTACTCTACCTAACATACTCTACCTACCCTACTCTACCTACCCTACTCTACCTACCCTACTCTACCTACCCTACTCTACCTATCCTACTCTACCTAACATACTCTACCTACCCTACTCTACCTACCCTACCCTACTCTACCTACCCTACTCTACCTACCCTACTCTACCTAACCTACACTACCTAACCTACTCTATTCTATCCTATGTCCATCTCCTGGCTCTAAACTACCTCCCTGCCAATTTTTAGCTTAATTGGTTCAGCCGTTCTTGAGTTATAAGTGGAGTAACTAACACGACTTTCTTTTATATATATAGATTTTGTTATGACTTGAAGTGAAGGTCAAGGCGATTGCTTCTCAATCCATAATATTCTCTGGCAAGTACCAATGTGACTTTTACCGAGTTATAATGTAGGTATTTTCTATTTTTGCGTGTAGTTCCAACTAGTCAAATTCAATACTATTATTAATGTAGTGTCAAAAACTGGTATTTTCTATAAGTTTTTTATGAGATCGCAATATGTGACTTTACCTCAGACAGCATACTTATTATTATAGATCGTCAAATCAATGAATTAAAGTTTGATTAATTATATTTTAATAAATCATTCCACTAAGGATTTTCTATATTTCTGATATTTCAATAGTCAGATAGGTCAATGTATCAGAGGAATAAAATTGTTGCTGTCACTGTCTTATACAAACATTCTGACGCGACAGCATCATAATTATTCCCCAGGTAACTTTTATCTAACCACTAGCAGACCGCCCCTGCTTCGCACGGATATCAGACTACCTCGGAGTCAGTCATTTGTTTTGCAAGCGAACGGCCACGGCACCAGAAAGGTTGTTCAATGTCAAAAGTCAAAAATCATTTATTTCAATTAGACCACATTAGGCACTTTTGAACGTCAAGCAAGCAAAAAAGGAAAAAAGTATATAACAAGAGCTTTAAAATTAAGCGTGTCAGTCTGTCCGTCTGTCCTCTAGTGAAGCTATTTGCTCGTTCCAAAGTGTAGATTCCGATGGAGAAGAACGAGCAAGAAACTCCATGGTTACTCTTTTTCAATCAGTTTTACAATACATTTCTTTGTTACATAATTTAGTCGGTTCTGATATGTGAGAACAATGTAACACTAATGTTCAGGCAAAAAGTACGAAAAAGAAGTGAACCTCAAGGGCAACATATTTAGACAGCCTGGAGATGACCAGTCCCAATTGGCGGCGCCCGTTCACGAACATGACAGTACACCAGCACCGCCCAACTCAACCATATTATAGGGAATTGGACGATCCAGTGCCCGTGCCACCACCAATGAGACCTCTGAGTGAGCATGACAGCTCCCAGCCGACACAAGTACCTATATTCTACAAGTCTTACTTAATTATAATAGGTTACAGGGTACTCACATTTACAAAAACTTAGAAGTTCATCAAAAATTAACAACATTGTGTACAATTTAATTTATGTTAATTCCCGCTATTCCCTTTTACTATTCATATAAAGTTTTCTTTCATAAAAACCTTCTCCTTACAATAACGAACAAAACAAAAAAAGAATTAGCAAAATTGGTCAAGGCGTTCTGGAGTTATGCGCTTACCAACACATTTCGCGATTCATTTTTATATTATAGATTGAAAACTCAGCCCTTAAGAGTCTAATTAATTTATTTTGGACCTAAGAAACTGCACAATATTATAAGCTTTCCACGTACAGACAGATAGAACAATACTTTTTTTTGTTATTCTTTTCCCAGGCTGTGAAGAATTCGTTCTGGCGATGTACCTATGTGAGAAGGCGACTCAAGGAGAACCAGTGCCAGCTAAATTACCCCCTGAACTCATTCCACCAACATTCCGGTAAGATTTTAATAAAGTATACTTTTGTTTATCTTCTAACTAGCTACTCTCACGCGGTTTCACCCGCTGCTCGGCTCCATTTAATCGTAGCATGATGTTTGATAGCACGCAGGAACATTGTAGCTATCTATCAGTGAAAGAATTTTGGCAATCCGACCAGCGGTTCCAAAGATTACCCCCTACATATAAACTTACAAATTTATGATACGACGGCCTCACAGAATACCGACATAAAACAACCACAGCGTTGTGTTTCGCCGTGTGAGTGAAGTAACCGTAAGCCCAATCTTTCCCATCCCCCGATCCCTCCTTATCCCTAAATCTCCAAAACCCTAATCCCTAAAAGGTCGGCAACGCACTCGTAACTCCTCCGTTGCGGGTGTCCATGGGCGGCGCTGATTACTTACCATCAGGTAATCCGTCTGCTCGTTTGCCGACATATTCCATAAAAAAAAACTTATTTTATTTTCAGACGTGACTCTATTACTTCGAATACAAGCGCGAAATCTTACGAAGAGAGACGAAGAGAGAATATGGCTAGAGGACAGGCGGAGCTCGAGAGGAGACGCTCTCAGCTTGCTGACGCCGCTATGAAAGAAAAGGTAAGCTCAAGGTCAAAGAAGAGTGTTAATGTCAAGGTCGCATGTCAATGTTTTATGTTAAAGTCGGTGCTTTGACAATGTTTAAGTCAAACTTCAAGGATACAAGCTCAACTTCAAAATGTCAAGGTCGAAGAAAATATCAATGTCAAAGTTGTGTGTAAAGTGTCAAGGTCAAATGTTTATGTTGCATGTTAAATTTAGATCTATGATAGTGTTTCAATCAAACGTCAAGGACACAAGCGGATCTTCACAATTGTTAAGATCAAAATAAAGCGTCAATGACAAAGTTGACTGCAAAATGTCAATAACAAATTTTATGGTCGCATGTCAATATTGTATGTTAAAGTCAGATCTGTGAGAATTTTCAAATCAAACTTTAAGGACAAAACTCAAAATTCCCATGATCAAAGTCAAACTATAATGTCAATGTCAAAGTTGAGTGTCAAATGTAAAGATTGCATTTCACTGTTGTATGTTAAAGTCAGATCTTTGACAATGTTTAAATCAGATGTCAAGGACCCAAGCCAACCTTTCAAAGGAGAACATCAAAGTAAAATTTGATTGTGACAGTGTTTAAGTCAAATGTCAAGGACACAAGCCAACCTTCCAAAGGTCCAGGTCAAAGCGTAATTTCAATGTCAAGGTCAAATGATAAATGATAAAGTCGAGCTCAAGATTCAGATAGGTTTTCATATTTATTATGTGTAGAAAATATTAATAGATCTATAGCTAATGGTTTTTCTTTCTTTTTTCATCGCTACTTGTAGGAGGCCGAGGTAAACCATTTAAACAATTTACTTTCTAGGAAATCAAAATTAAAATAGTATTCAGTCCGTCGCTTATGTCGGATATATTAGACATGTATTTTTTTATTCGTACAAAACAATATTTAGATAAAAACAATTTAAAAAATCTTTTAAAAGTAGTGTAGGAGAGCCATTGTTCGGCAGGATTGGGTCGGCTCGACCGGAGTAATACCACGGCCTCACAGAAAACCAGCGTGAAACAATCACAGCGTTGTGTTTCGCCGTGTGAGTGAAGTTACCGGAGGCCCAATCCATCCCCCTCCCTAACCCTTCCTAATCCCTAAATATCCGCAACCCTTATCCCCAAAAGGCTGGCAACGCACTCGTAACTCATTTGCTATTACGGGTGTCCATGGGCGGCGCCGATTGCTTACCATCAGGTAATCCGTCTGCTCGTTTGCCGTTTTATTTTATAAAAAAAGAGACTGATCTCTGAGTTGGTTTCGGCGTTTCTTCTCAGACAAGTAATGCCGACTTCATCTAGTTTTTAACATTACATATATAATTTTGTCGTGTAAAACTGCTGTTTTATGGCCTATATACATATTTACATATATAAATTTATTGTTTTGTTGTTTGTTTCATTGGATTTTTTTTTTAATATAATAGGTCGGCAAAGGAGCATACGGATTACCTGATGGTAAGCAATCAGCGCCGCCCATGGACACCCGCAACGGAGGAGTTACGAGTGCGTTGCCGACCTTTTAGGGATTAGGGATTTGGTGATTTAGGAACTGGGGAGGGATTAGGGAAGGGGAAGGATTGGGCCGGTAACCCCACACACACGGCGAAACACAACGCTGTGGTTGTTTCACGCCGGTTTTCTGTGAGGCCGTGGTATCACTCCGGTCGAGCCGACCCATTCATGCCGAAGCATGGCTCTCCCACACTTTAATGTTTTAATTTCAGTTAAGCAATACGTTACCTTATTTTTAATCAATATTTCGAATGTTTTTGCTTCCCTAGGAATAGAAAAAATACGTGTCTAAGGCCCGGGTGCAAACGATTTACGCGCGTTTTTTTGAATTCGCGCTAGAATCCCAAAAACGCGCGAATGAAATCGCCCTTTCTGGATTAGCTCTAATGTTTTAAATTTATCTAGAAGCGGAAAGTTACTGTTATACACAATATTTTTTTCGACATTATTTTGTAAGTCAAAGTAATTTTCAAAAAAATCAACTGAGTTCTTTTGTTGAGATTCGATTTTTTCTTACTTACTAATAGGCTGAAAGAGAGCGAAAAGAACGCGAGGAAGCGGAGAAGCGAGAGAAGTTGCGTCTAGAAGCTCAGAAGAGGGAACAAGAAGAACTGCTTCGGAAGCAGAAGGAAGAACAAGTAAGTTAATAAAATACTTATAGTAACAATGTGATTTTTGTTAAGAATGTATGTCTGTTTTATTTAAGGATTACCTGATGGTAAGCAATCAGCCCCGCTCATGGACACCCGCAACATTAAGGGAGTCACAAATGCGTTGCCGGCCTTTTGGAGTATTAATGATTAGAGGGGGATTGGGGGAGGGGAAAGATTGGGTCTCCGGTAACCTCACTTCCACAGCGAAACACAACGCTGTGGTTGTTTCACGCCGGTTTTCTGTGAGGCCGTGGCCTGTATGTATGTATGTAGCTCTTTAACACGAAAACTACTGAATAGATTTTATTGTAATTTGGTACTGAGATAGATTATAGTCTAGAATAGCATAAAGACTATTTTCATCCAGTCAATTCAAGCGAAGCTAATATGTCTATTGACCCCATCATTATGCCAATAGACCACCACAGACGGGGCCCTATAGGACTGATGTTCAGTCGGGGTTGCGGGGTAAGCGCAATGAGTCACCGCGACCTCGGCCCAGAGCAGGAGAAGGGAGGGGGGTTTTTAGTCAGTAAGAGTCTGACACTCTCCCGCCAAGGGGTGGGAGAAGTCGTTAGATGATTTGAAAAAGACCCCATCGTGATGTATAACAACTCTGTGTGATCATATCAACAAATGATTGTTCCGCGTCTGCGTGTGATGTGTATGTGACATTGTATGTTTGTAAACGCACTCACGATACGGGAGAAAATTATAAAGATGTGAAGTTTTTCAAAAAAATTATATTTTTATGTATTTTTTGTTTTGTCTTAGGAAAAACGTGAGGCCGCCCGCAAAGAAATGGAGCGGCAATGTCAACTTGAATGGGAGAAGAAGCGGTAAGTCTTTAAATAATACTTTAGTTAATAATAATAATACTATCCATACTTCTCGTATAAAGCTGTAGAGTTTGTTTGTTTGAACACGCTAATCTCCGGAACTACTGGGTCGAATAAAACAATTACAACTGTGGGAGAGCCATGCTTCGGCATGAATGGGTCGGCTCGACCGGAGTGATACCACGGCCTCACAGAAAACCGGCGTCAAACAACTACAGTGTTGTGTTCGTCGTGTGAGTGAGGTTATCAAAGGCCTAATTCTTCCCCTCCCCCAATCCCTCCTAATCCCCAAAATCTCCAAATCCCTAATCCCTAAAGTTTGGCAACGGAGAGTAAGAGTCTGACACTCCCTCTCGCCTCAAACAAGCAGACGTATTACCTGATGGTAAGCAGTTTGTGCCTAACTAGTAGAACTTTTTTCAGTTAATGTCCCGTGAGTGAGTCGTTTTCAGTAATATTTGGTATGTCTCGCAATAGATGCTATACAAAAAAATAGTAGCATTATTAATTACTAGCTACTCTCGCGCGGTTTTACCCGCTGCTCGGCTCCTACAGATCATAGCGTGATGTTTTATAGCCTATAGCCTTCTTCGATCAACAAAAAGAATTGTTTAATTCGGCCCAGTAGTTCTGGAGGTTAGCGCGTTCAAACAAACAAACTATTCAGCTTTATAATATTACTATAGATATAATATATACATATATTTCTTCTAGATTTTGCACGACTGTTATATTTCATTACTTTTTAAAGATAAACTAGATGGGATATAGATTATTCTTTAAACATACTGGTCGATTGGCCTCGAGTTCACCATCATTTTTTTTTTACTAGCCTGTAATGTAATGCTTCTTCTGGGGAGGGTTGGGGAGTCATCGTGATCATGACTACATTTATGTATATATATGTATGTATGTATGTGTTTATATGTGTAAATATATTAAGTAGTATGTGTTTTATAAATATATGTATATAAGTATAGTTTTATGTACTTTATGTATGTTTATATAAACCTATGTTATACTACTCTATTTCGCTTGCTTCTTGCATCTACTACTGGATTCTCTGCATCACCCAAAGGTCGACTGGTAGAGAATGCTCAATGCATTAAGTCCGCCTTATGTACATACAAATTGTGCATGAAGTATAAATAAAAAAATAAAATAAATAATGTCCCACTGCTGGGTAAAGGCCTCCCATCTCACTTCCACACCTCCTGATCTTTCGACAGTGTCCACCAGTTTCGACGATAGGTGTCTAGCCATCTTTTCATACCAAGGTCAAACAAAACAGTTGAAGTTTTTTGTGATAAATAGTTCTGTATAAATAATTCTTCTAGAACACGGGAATTGGAAGCGATGCGGACAGAGGAACAGTCAAAAGTCCTCTCCCTTAAGGCGAAGAGTCAGAGTGTATCAGCCGAACTGAACTCCGTAGTGCTTCGCGCCAGTAACCTGGCCAAGGATATCCGGGAGACCAGGACTAGTGTTGCCGCAGCGAAGTGCACTATTGATGGCATGAGGTAAGCTTAAATGTCTAATGACCCCCGTCACTGCGGGATTATTGACCCCCTCTTTGCTATAAATTTTGACTTGGGCGTCGTATTGGATAATACTTATTTACTATTTAAAAAAAATGGTTGTTTGTGTCTTTTTTATTTTTATAGACCCCAGTCCAGACCTATTAAATTATAGTAGACCCATCCAAATGTATTATTGACACTTTAGATTTTTGCTAAATCCCATCAAAGTGTATCAGTGGCGACTAAACTACTACCAGACCCCATCAAAATCTGTCTATAATTCCTCCACTTCTAGTAGATCCCATCAAAGTCTCTCTCTGACCAATAAACTTCTAGTAGACGCTATAAAAGTCTCTCTCTTACTCCCTTCTAGTAGACCCATCAGTCTTTAAGTTACCCTCTATTCTTCTGGTGTACCCCTTAAAAGATTTACAATGGCCCCCTAAACTTATAGTAGGTAGACCCCATTAGTCTCTCAATAACCCCTAAACTTCTAGAAGGTAGACCCCATCAAAGTCTCAAATTAACTTCCTCAACTACTAGTAGACGTATCAGACTCTCAATGACCCCAAAACTTCTAGTAGGTAGACCTCATCAGTCTATCAATGGCCTCCTATACTTCTAGTAGGGAGACCCCATCAGTCAATCAATGGCCCAAACTTCAAATAGAGCCATCAGTCTCTCAATGACCCCCAAAACTTCTAGTAGGTAGACCCCAACAGTCTATCAATGACCCCCCCCCCCCCCAAAATAGAGCCAGTCTCTCAATGACCTCTAAACTTCCGATAGACCCCATCAAAATCTCTCTCACCGCTAAACTTCTAGCAGACCTCATCACAATATATATCTGACCCCCAAACTTCTATTAGACTCCATCAGTTCCTCAATGACCTATAAACTTTAACTAGACCCCATAGAAGTCTCACAATGACCCCCTAAACTTCTAGATCGGACCGAGACTCGAGTATGGCTGAAATGCAGCAACTGAAGGCCCGAGTTAAGGAACTGAACGCTAAGCAAATAGCTCTGAATAAGGAAAAGGCGGAACTTGATGCTAAGGTAAGATAGATCCTGCCCAGGATAAGGCGAGAGAGAGTGTCAGACTCTTACTGGACTAAAAACCCCCCTGTTTCTTCTCCTGCTCTGGGCCGAGGTCGCGGTGCCTCATTGCGCTTACCCCGCAACTCCGGCTGAACATCAGCTCTATTGACTACACGGTTGGTGCGGTGGCAGGGCAACTGGCTGCCATGCAACGTGTCGCGGGTTCGATTCCCGCACGGAACAACACTTTGTGTGATCCACAAATTGTTGTTTCGGGTCTGGGTGTGATGTGTATGTGAAATTGAATGTTTGTAAACGCACCCACGACACAGGAGCAAATCCTAGTGTGGGGCTACTTTTTTTTTTTTAAATAAATCGATCCCCGTCTGTGGTGGTCTATTGGCTCTTTGACGAGTGAGAGTAGCTCGCTTCCCGACCTGAACTAGGCACGAGCGTAAAGCGCGTAACGCTCCGCGCGTGCCTCTAAAAGCCAATGTTGCTCGAAGTAGGAGAAATGACGGGGGTGTTTTTAACCCCCGACGGGAAAAGAGGGGTGTTATAACTTTGACGTGTCTGTCTGTCTGTGGCATCCTGGAGCCTGAACGGATGAAGCGATTTCAATTTAGTTTTTTTTTTTGTATTAATGATGACTTATGTGCGAGTGTTTTTAGACATGTTTGACGAAAATTGGTTGAGCCGTTTAAAAGTTATGGGGGGTAAGTGGGGAAGGGTAAGGATTTAAAAAAAAGAAAAAAAGGGTAACCGAAGGTCTGCAAATATACTCGAGTGAGTCTTAAATGTAAGCGCACTGAAATCCATAAATTGTTGTTTGAATCGGGTCTGAGTGTTTTTTTGTATATGAATTTGTATGTTTGTAAACGCACCCACGACACAGGAGAGAACGTTTTTTTTATAACCTGGCCCAGGTCCATCAGGAAACGAAACGGGGGGGGGGTTTTTAGTCAGTAAGAGTCTGACACTCTCTCACTGGCGGGAGAAAACATTTGATAGAAGAAATCGGGGCGTTATTTTTAATTTTAATATTATTTGTTTAGGCCAAAGCATCCGAGGGTGCAGGCGAAGACGGGAAGCTGAATATGATGGAGATCACTCTTAAACAGCTGAGAGATAAGGTAAACATATCCAAACAGCTTTTTTTATAAGTCGGCAAACGAGTAGACGGATTACCTGATGGTAAGCAAACAGCGCCGCCCATGGACACCCGTAATACCAAAGGAATTAGAAAGAAAAGAAAGAAAGAAAACTGTTTTTATTCGGATTATGACATGGAGGCCAAGAACGAACAAAAAAAATACAACAATAAAAAAAACAAAACATTAAAAGTTTGAAGTAACAGGACAACAAAATAAAATAAAAATAAAATTAATCAAAACAATAACGTGAAAACAGACTAACATATTTAGAATAATGGTAGATACCCTGGGTTGGCGGACATGCCCAATCAGAATGGGTCGCCAACTCAACAAAAGCTGGGCGCAGAGCACCCAACATTGATTTTCAGTTGGCACCCCTGCAGTGACGCACGGACGAATGCAACACATACTATCTACTAGTTAGTTGTAATTACTACGAGTGCGTTGTTTTCCTCTAAGTCAAAGTCAAAAAGGCACCTTTGAACGAACGAAACAGTGTCAGTATGTCGGTCAGTCCTCTAGTGAAGCTATTTGCTCGTTCCAAAGTGTAGATTCCTATGGAGAAGAACGAGCAACAAACTCCATGGTTACTCTTTTACAATCAGTTTTTCAATTTTTTTTATGTAATATATCGGCAAACGAGCATACGGATTTCCTGATGGTAAGCAAACAGCGCCGTCCATGGACACTAGTAATACCAAAGGAATACAGTTGTTTCCAACTAGTCAAATTCAATACTTTTATCCAAATGTCAAAAACTATACTTTTCTATGAAATTTGTATGAAAAAGTGAGTTATGACGTCATACCATTTTTGCGTCAAATAGCTTACTTATTTCTTAAAAATTAGCCAAAAAATATCTAAAACTTAGTGTATCGATCGATCGATGAATAAAAGTACCTATAGTTATTTTTCAATATTTTATTGTATTGAAACATCGAATCAATTTATTTTTAACCTAGGAAACTACACAATTACTACGAGTGCGTTGCTGGCCTCTAAGTCTAAGTCAAAGTCAAAAAGGCACTTTTGAACGTCAAAAAAACTAAAATAAAACAGTATCAGTCTGTCGATCTGTCCTCTAGTGAAGCTACTTGCTAGTTCCAAAGTGTAGATTCCTATGGAGAAGAACGAGCAAGAAACTCCATGGTTACTCTTTTTAAATCAGTTTTACAATACATTTCTTTGTTACATTATTGAGTTGGTTCGATTATGTGAGAATAGTGTAAATAATATATTTTTTCATTTCTCAGGTCGAAGCAGCGAAAGCTCTAGTTGAGAGCAAGAAACAAGATCTGGAAACGAATAAATCCCAGCTCTCGGAACTTAGTAACACAGTCACTGAGCTGGGTGAAAAATGCGCTCGAGTTTGGAAGCTCTATGAAGAGAGGAGGGAGGAATACCTCAGTAGGAGCTCTGCGCCCGCTGAAAGCGCTTGGAACGCAGGTAGGAGGGTTTGCGCAAGGTTGCGCCAGTTTGCGCTAGTTTGCGCCAGTTTGCGCTAGTTTGCGCCAGTTAGCGCTAGTTTGCGCCAATTTGCGCTAGTTTACGCAAATGTAAAAAAATTGTCAAGCGTGGGAGACCCATACTTTAACATGAATGAGCTAACTTTACCGGAGTGATACCACGCCTTGATAGTAGACTGGCGTGATGCTTTTGTTAAGTGTGGAAGAGCCATGTTTCGGCACGAATGGGTCGGCTAGGCCGGAATGATACCACGGCCTCACAGAAAACCGGCGTCGCCGTGTGAGTGAGGTTACCGGAGGCCCCCCAATCCCCCATACCCCTCCCCAATCCCTCCCCAATCCCTAAATCTCCAAATCCCTAATCCCCAAAAGGTCTGCAACGCACTCGTAATTCTGATTGCTTACCATCAGGTAATACGTTTGCTCATTTGCCGAAGTATCACATAAAAAGAATATGAAGGTGATATTATTATGATAATAATTCTCGGCCCGTCCCCGCTTCGCACGGGTCCAACTATCTCGCTATCAAAGTGTCACTTTTTCCTAATCTTCCCCTCTACTTTACTAATATTTTCTTTGATAAGAACCTTCTCCAGACAATAACAGACACAACAAAAAAAGAATTAGCAAAATATGAATTGAGCAAAAGATTGTAATTGATAATGGAATCTGTATGTTTTATTAACACTAGTTGTATAACTAACTAACCATTTATGAGCTTTGAGCTTGAAATAAAGTTTTTTTTTTGGTCCAGGCGTTGTTGAGTTATGCGCTTACCAACACATTTTGCGATCCATTTTTATATTAAATATATGTAAAAGATAATAATGAAATATGGTTTTACAGAAGCCGATTGGGGAGCTACGTCCAACGATGCTTGGGGCGAAGAGCCGGCCGCCGACAACGCATGGGGTGATGCACCAGCCACTACGGGTAAGCTAACTTTATAAAAATAACTAGCTACTCTCTCGTGGTTTCACCCGCTGCTCAACTCCATTTGATCGTAGCGTGATGTTTTATAGCCTATAGCACTCAGGAACATTGTAGCTATCAATCAGTGACAGAATTTTGGCAATCCGACCAGCGGTTCCAAAGATTACCCCCTACATACAAACTTACAAATTTTACCTCTTTATAATATTAGTATAGGTTATCTTTAGCCTCTGACAGTCCACTTTTGGAGTATATCCTCCTCTACATTAGAGGACTTTGCCACAATCTCCTTAGACTAGCGGGTTGGAGATGATGATCTCCGGCCACTATAAGCGCGGGTCTGCGGACGGCGAGTAAGGGTAGCTCGCCGCGCGACTAGAACTAGACCCGAGCGTACGGCGCGTAGCGTTCCGCGCGCGCCTCAAAGAGCCAATAGACCACCACAGACGGGGCCCTATAGGGCTGATGTTCAGCCGGGGTGGAGGGGTAAGCGCAATGAGGCACCGCGACCTCGGCCCAGAGCAGGAGAAGGAACGGAGGGGTTTTTAGTCAGTAACAGTCTGACACCTCTCTCTCGCCTTACCCTGGGCGGGAGAAGTCATTTGATGATTTTTTCCTCAAAAAAGGAATTGGAGTTCGCAGTTTAAAAGGTCCTGGTTTATCAGAGAGCGCTGCTGTCCTGTCTCTGTCAATGTGTAGTTTCTTGGTTGGGTATGTGATACCCGGCCAAAAGAGTATTTTTTTAACTTTGCTTAGTAGGATTTTCTCCTGTCTTAGTCGTAGGTGCGTTTAAAAACATACAATTTCACATACACATCACACCCAGACTCGGAACAATAATTTGTGGATCACACAAAGAGTTGGTCCGTGCGGGAATAGAACCCGCGACACGTTGCACGGCAGCCAGTTGCCTGGCCACCGCACCAACCGTGCAGTCAATGATTTTTGTTGTATTGTATATATCGTCACTACATTGTCATAGTAATACAGGTCTAGTTCGTTGTATTCGTATTGTGGCACAGTTTACAGTTTGATAACAAAATGGTAGTCAAAGTTTAGACCAAGCTTAGATATACCATCAGCCTATAAGTGCCCACTGCTGAGCAAAGGCCTCTTCTCACACGGAGAAGGTTTGAGCATTACACCACGCTCGCTCAAGGCCGGTTACTGATTTCAAACTTATCATTAGAAATTACTAGCTTTTGCCCGCGACTTTGTTCGCGCGGAATAGTGACTTCCTGCGGATTTTTTTTATAAAAACTATCCTATGTCCTTTCTCGAGTTCCAAACTATGTCTGTACCAAATTTCACAGAAATCGGTTCAGTAGTTTAGGCGTGAAGAAAAGACAGACAGAGTTACTTTCGCATTTATAATATTAGTTTGGATAAGTCCAGATTTCAGTTCCATTTTAGTCAGTAAGAGTCTGACACTCCCTCTCGCCTTACCCTGGACTGGAGAAGTGATTTAAGGATTTCTCCCTTCCACAAAAAAAAAGATTCCTCACTATGTTTTCCTTCACCGTATGTCTGTGGTGTCTTAATATTTTTTGATGTAATAGTTCGACAAACGAGCAGACGGATTACCTGATGGTAAGCAATCAGAGCCGCCCATGGACATGCGACGGAAGAGTAACGAGTGCGTTGCCGGCACTTTTAGGGTTTTGGAGATTAAGTGATTGGGGAGGGGAAGGATTGGGCCTCCGGTAACCTCACTTACACGGTTAAACACAACGCTGTGGTTGTTTGACGCCGGTTTTCTGTGAGGCCGTGGTATCTCTCCGGTCGAGCCGACCCATTCGTGCCGAAGCATGGCCCTCCCACACTTAACCATAGAAAGTACATCATTATTATTCATCATTAGCCTATAAATGCCCACTGCTGAGCAAAGGCCTCTTCTCATACTGAGAAAGTTAGAGCATTAATCACCACGCTTGCTCAATGCGGGTTGGCGATTTCAAACTTATAATTAGAAATTATAAGTCCAGGTTTCCTCACGATGTTTACCTTCACCGTATGTCAGTGGTGTCTGAATAATCATAGAAAGTACATATAGTATAACTCGGAAAAAGTCATATTGGTACTTGCCAAGTTTTGAACCTTGCTATACTTTGAGCATCGCTGACTAAATTTCTTGTTTTGTTTTTAATTTTCAAACGCCATTGTTTGCCCTTATCGTTTCTCACAAGCCAAGGTTGTTAGCTTATTAGCCGACGAATTTAAATTTCACGCATCCATTCATTCATTCATTAATAGACTTGTTTTGACGCGCGGCTTGCTTCGTAGGTACATGCAATTTTATTTATCACATAGGGATGTGTCCTAGGTTAAAACAACAAGATTCTAATTAGTCCGTCAGTTAGATTAAAGAAAAATACTCGATACGTATTTTTTTATTTGTCCATACGAATTATATTGACAAAGACACAGCACATTCAAATTCAGGAGTAGGGGCTCGTGACGTCACTCTATCGTAAAAATTTTGCGAAATAATGACGTAACGCGGACTCTCTCCGCTCTGTAACTTTGTTATTTTAAGTTTTAGAAGAAAAAGAAAAAATACGTTTCTACGATTTTCTGGCGTTGTAAAGGATGGACTTATTATTATTTTTTAGCCGTCATCCCTATTACTTTTACAATTTTACTATCGCTTTCTGATATATAAGTATATAAGTATCAGAAATCCCTCTATTTTTCATTATATTTTGCTTTCATAAAAAACGAAGCATGTCTTTTTTTATGTAATAGGTCGGCAAACGAGCAGACGGATTACCTGATGGTAAGCAATCAGCGCCGCCCAGGGACACCCGCAACTGAAGAGTTACGAGTGCGTTGCCGATCTTTTAGGGATTAGGGATTGAGGAGGGGTTGGGGGAGAGGAAGGATTGGGCCTCCGGTAACCTCACTCACACGGCGAAACACAACGCTGGGGTTGTTTCACGCCGGTTTTCTGTGAGACCGTGGTATCACTCCGGTCGAGCCGACCCATTCGTGCCAAAGCATGGCTCTCCCACACGTCTCTCTCAAATTTTCTATTTCTTCCCGATTTTGACATATTATGTTAAAAAATTATAATGGATGTGATTTTAAAACTGATTTATCACTACCACTACATAGTATAAAACAAAGTCGCTTTCTCTGTCCCTATATCCCTATGTACGCTTAAATCTTTAAAACTACGCAACGGATTTTGATGCGGTTTTTTAATAGATAGAGTGATCTATCTAATCTTTGATTTTCATACTTACGTACTTAATATTAACCTGCTAATACTACTTATATAACTTAACATATATAATACTAATATATTAATTTGCGTCCATCGCATTTATTATCAATTTTATTATTATTGTAAACTTAACAACCTATAGTAAGTCCTATTGACTTACTATAGGTTCTATTAAGTTAGTTTTTGAAATCTGATCCAACAGACAAACTGTGTATACAGTTTTGTTGGACATTTTATACTTTTTATAATGTAAATTGTACCTGTTAAGCAATAAATAAATAAATAATAATAATTGAAGAGGAAGGTTTATATGTATATAAATGACATCCATTAAATAGTGGAAAAATTTAGTAGCAGTGAAGCAAGGACGGGTCGCTAGTATTGATTAATTCAAGAACTCAATTGTAAAAATCCAAGTGTTCATTTTAAAATAGCCGTGTTACAATTATTGCTTGTTGTTTTTTATACCTTATTGCCTTGCACTCAAAGTTGGATTCTGATTAGCATTCAACGTGTCTTTTGAGAACAATTTCTTTTATTTAATATTCATATTTTTGTTTAGTATTTCAAACCTTATAACAATGTCAAATTTGGACAATTTTTGCTTGACTGTGATTCTTTTATATGGTATGTACATAATCTTTATATACTCACTGAAGCTGAAATTTACAAATATAATTTCTTTTGAGCTTTAAAATGATAAATGATTTTCATAGTCATATGTGAGCGCCATGTTGGAGACGATAAAGGATTTAAAATTTAATGATAGATCTCATCATTTCTCGAGCGTACGGCGCGTAGCGTTCCGCGCGCGCCTCAAAGACCCAATAGACCACCACAGACGGGGCCCTATAGGGCTGATGTTCAGACGGGGTTGCGGGGTAAGCGCAATTAGGCACCGCGACCTCGGCCCAGAGCAGGAGAAGGAACAGGGGGGTTTTTAGTCAGTAAGAGTCTGACACTCTCTCTCGCCTTACCCTGGGCGGGAGAAGTCATTTGATGATTTTCCCCTCACAAAAGAAACATGAGTAGCAATCTTTACCTGCGAAAAATGGAGACTAAGCTTTTTAAAAATTGGTCAAATTCAATTCCTTTTTTGAATTATTAAAATCTAGAGTTGAAAATGAATAGAAATTATATGTATTTAGTCCGTTAATTAAATAATGAAAATGTATAATTTCTAATTATAAGTTTGAAATCGCCAATCCGGCTTGAGCGAGCGTAGTGGTTAATGCTCAAACCTTCTCCGTGTGAGAAGAGGCCTTTGCTCAGCAGTGGGCACTTATAGGCTGATGATGATAAAGTAGGCTATCCACACCTCCAGAAACGATGGATCAGCTGAAGGACTCTAATGGTGTAAAATCCCTATGTGATCCACAAGTTGTTGTTCCGTTCCGTGGGTCTGGGTGTGATGTGTATGTGAAATTGTATGTTTGTAAACGTAAACGCACCCACGACCCATGAGAAAATCCTAGTGCGGGGTATTGTTTTTTTTTTCATAAATAAATTGTTTACAAAATTTTCCGTGGTGTTTGGTGACTGGGCTTCTCCCAGTTGTACAGTCTCTTCTGTGCCTTTAAGGCCTAAATCATTCTGTCTCCTGCATTAAATTTACCGAGGGAAGTGGATACTATTTAATATTTTCTTCTCCTCAAATAATATCTTCTGATTTATTTCGTTGCGGGATCCAAGACAGTCATTCATGTCCCTGGGACGCGGCGGACTTCAGTGTTCCGGTGTTTTCATGGTTGTATCTACTGTAGTTCCTGGTGTACAGCAGTTGAAGTGGTTTTGGAAGGCTGTAGCAAGTTAACTATAAATCGCGGGTTACTCACGTGTCTATCTTGAGAAAAGCTCTACTAGTTTCGAACCACAGAGGGGTTCTTCCTCATGAGCAGCGTGCGCGGACGCGGCGACGTCGCGCAGCCTACTGGTTAGCGTTGGCGCCTGCATCGCTGTTGATGGTTGCGCTGCGGCGAATCCGCGAGGAAGAACCCCTCTGTTTTTCGAAACTAGTAGAGCTTTTCTCAATATATACACGTGAGTAACCCGCGATTTTTAGTTAATTTAGTATGTCTCGCGATAGTTATTATAAAAACAGGGTGTAGCAAGCTTGTCCTATTAAAAAAAAATGATTTATTAATATTTTTATATTTACTTACAGCTACTGAAGTGGTGACTTCTTCGGCTGCCCCTAGATGGCGCTGCGTGTACGAGTTCACAGCGCGCACGGCCGATGAGTTGAGCCTCCAACCGGGAGACTTGGTGAGTCAATAATCAAACACTACAATAAGTATGTGAGAGCCATGCTTCGGCACGAATGGGTCGGCTCGACCGGAGTGATACTACGGCCTCACAGAAAACCAGCGTGAAACAACCACAGCGTTGTGTTTCGCCTTGTGAGTGAGGTTATCGGAAACCCAATCCTTTCCACTTACGCCATCTTTCCCCTATCTCCTCCCTAATTTCCGAAACCTTTTTTTGATTAAATAGGACGACAAACGAGCAGACGGATTACCTGATGGTAAGCAACCAGCGCCGCTCATGGACACTCGTAGTACCAAAGGAGTTTGGTGCGTTGCCGACCTCTTCTGTGTTATTAGAGGTTTAAGGATAAGGGGATTTGATGAATGAGGACCGGAGAAGGCTTGGCCCTCCGGTAACCTCACTCACACGACGAAACACATTCTCTGTTATATTGGAATACATTATTTATACTTACTTCATACGCCATCTTTTTCTTTCTCTTTCTTACTTTTCTCCTTACTGCCACCCACTGTAACCTGTATTTTTCATCCACTCCACTTCCTCATCTCCTATTCTCGATCATTCCTCTTCCTTCTCTGTCTCACTGCTTCTCCTTCTTCGTTTATTGCCCCCTCGCCTTCCAACTTTCCCCCGTGTTAGAGTGATAAGGTCGTAATTCGTATTTTTTTATGGTATATGTCGGCAAACGAGCAGACGGATTACCTGATGTTAAGCAATCGGCGCCGCCCATGGACACCCACAACGAGTGCGTTGCCGACATTTTAGGGATAGGGGTTCCGGATATAAGGAACGGGAAGGGATAGGGGAAGGGAAGGGAGGCCTTCGGTAAGCTCACTCACACGGCGAAACAAAACACTCTGGGCAGTTTCACGCCGGTATTCTGTGAGGCCGTGGTATCACTCCGGTCGAGCCTACCCATTCGTGCCGATGCTTGGCTCAACCACACTAGTATGCGACTATTTTGAATTAAACACTAGCTAACTTAAACTATTGAATGAGCGGCGTCGTCGTGTTGCATACAGGGTACATCTAAATTACTGAATTGGATGAACACCCTGGCTCCCTCCATTCCATCCTCCTCTCCCCCTTCAATCCATCCCCCTGTCCCTTGCGTCCCTTCATCCTCTTCCCTTCTATTCATTACCCCTTACTCCTTCATTCCTTGCCGTCTCTACCTCCATTCCATCCCTCTCTCTTCTCCCCTCCGATCCTTCACAATCTTCCCTTATTTTCTTTCCACCCCTCTCTCGTCTTTCTTTATCTCTCTTTCTCTCGCCCACGACAATATAATATCATATAATATTATAAAAAAGTCAAAAAGTCAAAATTATTTATTTCAATTAGACCCATACAGGCACTTTTGAACGTCAACACAACTTTAAAGATACAAAGTGTCAGTCTGTCGGTCAGTCCTCTTAGTGAAGCTATTCGCTCGTTCCAAAGTGTAGATTCCGATGGAGAAGAACGAGCAAGAAACTCCATCGTTACTCTTTTAAAATCAGTGTCACATAAACATTCTTTGATACATTATTTAGTTAGTTTGAATATGTATATTTTAGAGGTATGAGTGAACAGGGTGGAAAGTTCCTCATCCTCCATTGAAAAGGGAGGATCCTCCAACCAGACGGGTGTTGTGTCTGGGGGGCTACTGCCCGACGGTTGTTGTCGGGATTTTTCTATCGGTTCTAATTGCGTTGATAACTCTTATACCGCGATGTAGAATCTTGCACGTGATTGGTGCTGTTGTTACTGTTGTGCGATAGATGTCGCTATAATATAATTGTTAAAAAGTCGTGTGTGACCTTTTTTGCTTTTCGTCAACCAGGTCAGCGACGCCCAGCCGCCTCGTGGAGATGCCGAGCCTGGCTGGAGATGGGGGACAGCCCGAGGTAAGATAATACAGCAATAGACTCAGATCTTTTATGTGGTAGATCGACAAACGAGCAGACGGATTACCTGATGGTAAGCAATCAACGCCGTCTACGGACACCCGCAACAACGGAGGAGTTACGAGTGCGTTGTCAAGGATGGGTCCGCAGTATCTACTATATCTTAGAGTAGAGAAGTAGAGGGGAAGATTAGGAAAAAGAGACTTCTTGATATCGAGATAGTTGGACCCGTGCGAAGCGGGGGCGGGCCGCTAGTAAAACATGTTTTTGTACGATTCGGTACAAGTTTAGGTTAGGTTAAAGTAATTTTAAAAATCGATCAGTCTCGCCAGTAAACCTTTTTTTACTAGCCTGTAATGTCCCACTGCTGGGCAAAGGCCATGCCATCTCGCTTCTACAACTCCCAATCTTTCCACAGTAAACTTATAATAAAATAGATTTGAGGATTGAGAATGGGGATAGGGAAGGATTGCGCCTCCAATAACGACTGCACGGTTGGTGCGGTGGCTGGGCTGCCGTGCAACGTGTCGCGGGTTCGATTCCTGCACGGTTCAACTCTTTGTGTGATCTACAAATTGTTGTTTCGGGTCTGGGTGTCATGTGTATGTGATATTGTATGTTTGTAAACACACCCACAGCACAGGAGAAAATCCTAAAGTGGGGTAACGTTTTTAAATAAACAAAACAAGACAAACAAACAAATAACCTCACTCACACGGCGAAACACAAAACTCAACGTAACTATACTCTGAATTTTAATTCCATTCCAGATTTGACAATTTCAGTGTTGCAACGTTATGACACGTACTAAATAGTGACGTTGCGGAATTATTCGATATGGAAATCGAATATTTCTGAATCGATTCCTCTCGTTTATAAATTTAATCTCGTAAACTAAGTTTATCAGAAAATAAAATATTTCTGAACCGATAATAATTTAGTTTTGACAATTAATTAACGACCTGAGACTTTTCTTTTGTAGTTGTGTGTGAAATTAATAAAAAATGTGATCATGAAGGAACATGGCAAATAAAACAGACATTTTATAAATTGTCGCCGTCATCGCTATCGCTATCGCTGTTACTTTCTGTAACATTTATTATGAATTGTGTCTGTGATATTTATTGTCAATTAAAATATCTAGCTTACTCATTTTTTCCTCTTCTTTGACAACATGGGATACGCATTTAGACCATTCGGTAGCCGTAATTTTTTGAATGCCTTCCTGAAACTGATTCTCTAATAGTTTATCGATTTTTGTGTTCATCACTACACTGTTATATGTGGTATCATTATTTCACAAAATAACAATAAGTCATGTCAAATTAGGAATCGAATTAAAATTCTGACCATAGACTTTTTCATTCATGTTTTTTTTCTTACAGGTCAATCAGGATGGTTCCCTGAATCTTACGTTGAGGATATTAACGCTCAAACAGCTTACAGCGAAGTTGTCGAATCAATCGAAACGAAGACCCAACTCGAAGGCATCGCTGAAGTGCCCGAAGCTGAAATGTCGAATGATTTGGGCGGAGCCATGCCTGTAGTACGTAAGTATCGTAGTTTTAATTTTCAGTATTTTTTCCTGCCTAGGTTGCTGGTCCAAGCGCGATTAGGTACCGCGGCCTTGGTTTAGAGCAGGTGAAGGGACGGAGGGGTTTTTAGTCAGTAAGAGTCTGTCACTACCTCTCACTGGACGAGAGTAATTTGTTTATTTTCTCGACCCAAAGCAAAATTTTTTTTTTTATGTAATTAGTCGGCAAACGAGCATACGGATTACCTGATGGTAAGCAATCAGCGCCGCCCATGGACACCCGCAATGGAGGAGTTACGAGTGCGTTGCTGACCTTTTAGGGATTAGGGATTTGGAGATTTAGGGATTGAGGGGGGATTGGGGGCGGGGAAGGATTGGGCCTCCGGTAACCTCACTCACACGGCGAAACATAACGCTGTGGTTGTTTCACGCCGGTCTTCTGTGAGGCCGTGGTATCACTCCGGTCGAGCCGACCCATTCGTGCCAAAGCATGGCTCTCCCACAATTTAGTGTAAACTTACAAATAAAGATATTATTATCCCATTTCAATTATCACTGTACTTTTTTTTGTCAGGGGAAAATCATCAAATGACTTCTCCCGCCCGGGCGAGAGGGAGTGTCAGACTCTTACTGACTAAAAACCCCCCGTTCTTTCTCCTGCTCTGGGTCGAGGTCGCGGTGCCTCATTGCGCTTACCCCTCCACCCCGTCTATCACTATCCTATCTCATATAAATGTACCGAGTTATATGTACTTTCTATGATTATTTAGACACCACTGACATACGGTGAAGGTAAACATCGTGAGGAAACATGGACTTGTAATTTCTTATTATAAGTTTGAAATCGCTAACCCGCATTGAGTAAGCGTGGTGATTTATGCTCAAAACATTCTCCGTATGAGAAGAGGCCTTTGCTCAGCAGTGGGCACTTATAGGCCGATGATGATGATGATGATGATGATGAAGCGGCAACGGGTCGCTACTAATATAAAAAATAAAATATTCATAGGTATAATTAATGTTTTCAGAGGGCGGTGATTTCTACATAGCCGCGTATCCATACACTTCGGCTGAACCTGGCGACCTTACCTTTGAGGCCGGTGAGAGGATCGAGGTCATCAGACGGGACGGTGACTGGTGGACCGGCAGGATTGGTATCAGGTAATTTTTTAATTTAATTCTTACTAGCGGCCCGCCCCCGCTTCGCACGGGTCCAACTATCTCGCTATCAAAGGGTCGCTTTTTCCTAATCTTCCCCTCTACTTTTCTAATATTTTCTTTGATAAAAACCTTCTCCTGACAATAACAAACACAACAAAAAAAGAATTAGCAAAATTGGTCCAGGCGTTGTTGAGTTATGCGCTTACCAACACATTTTGTCGAATAAATGTGTTTTCTTTCTTTCTTTCTTTCTTTTTGCGATCCATTTTTATATATAAGATTAGCTTTTGCCCGCGACTCTGTTCGCGTAGATGATAATGACATCTTACAGAATTTTGGTATAAAAACTATCCTATGTCCTTTCTCGAGTTCCAAACTATGTCTGTACCAAATTTTACAGGAATTAGTTCAGTTGTTTTGGTGTAAAGAAAAGACAGACAGAGTTACTTTCGAATTTATGATATTAGTTTGGATTTAATGGTATAGGTCGAGCAGACGGATTACCTGATGGTAAGCAATCAGCGCCGCCCATGGACAACAGCAACAGAGGAGTTACGAGTGCGTTGCCGATCTTTTGGGTATTAGGGATTTGGAGATTTAGGGATTGGGGATGGCGATTGTGGGAGGGGAAGAATTGGGCTTTCGGTAACCTCGCTCATACGGCGTTACACAACGCTGTGGTTGTTTCACGCTGGTTGTCTGAGGCCGTGGTATCACTCCGATCAAGCCGACCCATTCGTGCCGAAGCACGGCTCTTCCGCACTTGGATGAATTTTCTTTTGCAAATCCTACAATTTCGCCGTGTGAGTGAGGTTAAAGGAGGCCCAATCCTGCCCCACCCACAATCGCCATCCCCAATCCCTAAATCTCCAAATCCTAAATCAACAAAAGATCGGCAACGCACTCGTAACTCCTCATTTGTTGCCGGTGTCCATAGGCGGCGCTGATTGCTTACCATCAGGTAATCCGTCTGCTTTTTAGCCGCCATATCACATATATATAATAAAATTGTTTTATTAATTTGATATTGGTTTTAATTTTCATCCTTAGAACCGGAATTTTCCCATCGAATTATGTGACCAAAGACACAACTACAGCTGTCGACGTCATCGCTTCTATACCGGAAGCGGAAGAGATACCAGAGGGCCAAGCAGAGGTCGCGCCCGCCCTCCCACAGCAAAACGCGGCGCCATACTCCCCACCCGTACAGGTAACCCATCCATTTCTATACCTCGGACAGTGTTGCTTACCCTTAGAATTTTTCCATGTAAAAAAATATTAATGAATTTCTTCGTCGTTTGCCGAAATAGAACGCGGCCCCGTTGTCACCGTCTGCACAGGTAACCCATCATTTTCTTAACCTCGATTGGGGTTGCTTACTTAAACACAAGGCTCGGAACCGGTTTAAAAAATGTTGCGTCCAAGGACACTTTCTGGATTTAAATAAAAAACATTATAAGTGTGGGAGAGCCATGCTTCGGCACGAATGTGTCGGCTCGACAGAAGTGATACCACGGCCTCACAGAATACCGGCGTGAAACAACCACAGCGTTTATTTCGCCGTGTAAGTGAGGTTACTGGAGGCCCAATCCCTTCCCTTCCCCATTCCTAAATCTCCAAATCCCTAACCCTAATCCCCAAAACGCACTCGTAACTCTTCTGGGTGTCCATGGGCGGTGTTGATTGCTTACCATCAGGTTATGCGCCTTCTTAGAATAAAAAATTCAAAATGGTTACTTGGATCTCTCTAAACATAATCGACCTTTATAGAAGAAAGGGTTCAAAACCGAATGTCCTTATCATAGGTGCTCACATTTCATACTTTAGAGTTCTTAGAGTACTTACGCTCGGGTCTATTAGTAACCCCTATATATTAGATTTTGAAATGTGATTTTACGAAGCTTAGGAGCCGTCCCGCCCCTTGTCACACCATGTCACACTTTGTCGACCCCCCCCCCCCCACTACCCCTCTAGTGTGACGTCACATGTTTTGCAATTTCACATCGAAAAATCATTTCATAGAAACAACAAAATCACGCGAGTAAGGTGCATCCGTCAAAGAGGTCGTCGGCAGCGGCGACCTGTCCCTAGAGCGGGTATGAACTCGTCAACAAAATTATTTTAATCGCGTTGTCCTAAAGATAGTCGAAAATATTTTTTAATTGAATTCATATTTTTGTCAAATTACGCGATTAGTACGTACCCTTTTTTAATACCCTTTTTTTTTTGGTCAGGGGAAAATCATCAAATGGCTTTTCCCGCCCAGGGTAAGGCGAGAGAGAGTGTCAGACTCTTACTGACTAGAACCCCCCCGTTCCTTCTCCTGTTCTGGGCCGAGGTCGCGGTGCCTCATTGCGCTTACCCCGCAACCCCGGCTGAACATCAGCCCTTTAGGGCCCCGTCTGTGGTGGTCTAATGGCTCTTTGAGGCGCGCTCGGAACGCTACGCGCCTTACGCTCGGGTCTATTAGTAACCCCTATATATTAGATTTTGAAATGTGATTTTACGAAGCTTAGGAGCCGTCCCGCCCCTTGTCACACCATGTCACACTTTGTCGACCCCCCCCCCCCACTACCCCTTTACGTGTGACGTATTTTATGAATGACCCCTAATAACCCCTTTTTTTACAGAAACAAGCTTTAAAAAAGCGCCTCATTTAGGAGACTACTTTTTAAACGTCTAGTATCTGTCACAAGTGCGTTCTAGAGACTTAAAATGTGAATTTATGCATAGTTCTTGTTCTTTTTCATACACTTTGTGCAAGTTAGAGCAGGAAAGGTACAGATTTACGTCATTAAATGATAAATTAAAGCGACGGGTCGCAGCGGACTCCAGGAGCGCTGTACACAGATCAGCGCTTTTTGACAGAGGACTCCTGGAGTCCGTTGAACAGCTGAGAGGATAAGTAATAGTTAGAAAAATGTAACCGGTATCCGAGCCTACCCTTGAAATTTTTTTACATATGAAATTATTAAAAAAATTATAATAAATTTCTTCATCGTTTGCCGAAATAGAACGCGGCGCCGTTGTCACCGTCTGCACAGGTAACCCATCATTTTCTTAACCTCGATTAGGTAGCTTAACTTGACTCCTTTTTGCCTTAATAACGTACGGATATAGTTTTTATTAATTGGAAATAAGTATTGGTTTTGTAATACTGAAAAATATGGAATATTTTTTTCTGCAAACGAGCAGACGGATTACCTGATGGTAAGCAATCAGCGCCGCACATGGACAACAGCAACAGAGGAGTTACGAGTGCGTTGTTGAGCTTTTAGAGATAAGGGATTTGGAGATTTAGAGATTGGAGAGGGATTGGTGAAGGGGAAAGATTGGACCTCCGGTAACCTCACTCATACGGCGAAACACAACGCTGTGGTTGTTTCACGCTGGTTTTCTGTGAGGCCGTGGTATCACTCCGGTCGAGTCGGCCATTCGTGCCGAAGCATGGGTCTCCCACATTTGATTGAACCACATATACCAAAATTGATACTTTTGCTACCTTAACCAATTAATAGACCATAAAAGACACTACATTATAAATAAATTTAGCCATCACAAGCGATTTATAATCCTTTCTATTAACGAGAAAAAATACACAATACTACTTTGCTAAAACGATACTTTTCAATGAAATTTGTATGAAAAACTGGGTTATGACGTCATAGTATTTATGCGTCAAATAGCTTACTTATTTCTTAAAAATTTGCTAAAAACTATCTTAAACTGTGTAAGTTTCCGAAAGGCCGATCAATGTAAAAATCAATTTAATCTCTTGTCAAGTCTTCTGATTGGTTGACTGAATTATCAACAACCAATCAGATGACTTGACAAGAGATTTAACAGGAGATTAGTTAATTTTAGCGTTGACAAGCCTTTCAGAAACCGGGTGTTAATGTATCGATCGATAGATGAATAAAAGTATAGTTATATTTCAATATTTTATTGTATTGAAACGTCGAATACTTATACAGCGGTAAAAAATACTCGCATTTTTCTTGCCAGGAACAAAAATCATCGACGCCAATATCTTCGGAGGTAGCTTCTATTACGGAGGGCGCAGCCTCCAATGGCGGGGGCGCGCGCCCCGCGTCCGCTGCGCGTAGAGATTCCGGCAGAGATTCCGTCACTGGGCGGAGGAAAAACGAGGTCGCACAGGCAATTGCCAACTACACGGCTACTAGGTAAATATATCCCATTTTCTTTACTAATACTAACAAAAACCCCCATATATCAAACTAGTTAGTCTCGCACGGTTTCACCCGCTGCTCAGCTCCATTTGATCCTAGCGTGATGTTTTATAGCCTATAGCACTCAGGAACATTGTAGCTATCTATCAGTGAAAGAATTTTGGCAATCCGACCAGCGGTTTCAAAGATTACCCCCTACATACAAACTTACAAATTTTACCTCTTTATAATATTAATATAGATTTCAGCCGAATCGTTAGGGCCGTTTCCTAGATCACTTGCCGTTTCAAGCAATCAGCGCCATCTACCGGCTGATGTGTGATTCATTGAAGTCTTAAATGATTTTTACTTTCCAAATAAAAAAATGTGGTCATAGTGCTTTAACATCATATTATAGCATAGTTATTTCTGAAATATTAGTTAGAATTTTTTTTTAATGAAGTCATCGTCAAGCCAACAAAAAAAACTTTTTTTTTTGTATTATTTTTTTTGTTTCTAGCCGTTTAATGTTTTTTTTTTATTATAATGTGTTATGACAACGAAGTCTATATAGTTGTAAAATGACTATATAGTTGCCTATAATATTTGAGGAGTTCCCTCGATTTCTCATGAATCCCATCATCAAAACTCGATTTTGAAAAGAATGGGACCAATCTGGAAGATCTTTTTTATTCCAAATTTTGCAAATCCGTCCATAAACAACAGAGTTCTGAGGTAAAAAACATAAAAAAAATACAATCGAATTGAGAACCTCCTCCTTTTTTTAAAAGTCGGTTAATGAATGAAAACATGATCGTTACGGCCCTTTTCGAGATCACATTCCGGATCTCGGAAACGGCAGATGGCGCTGATTGCTTGTAAAAGCATGTGATCTCGGAAACGGCCGTAACGATTTCGATGAAATTTCATATGTGGGGGGTTTCCTTTGGTATTAGTATAGATAATTAATTGTACTGAAGACTCTATTTATTTATTTATTAAACTTCATACACAATGGGTACATAGGCTGACTTAATGCCTTAGGCATTTTCTACCAGTCGAGCCTTGGTGACTGGTAAAAAAACAAACTATTGTGTCGTGGTGGCCCGAAGGTTAAGGAGCCCGCTTCTCGTGCATGAGGGTGTGGGTTCGAAACCTGGCAAGTACCAATGTGACTTTTTCCGAATTATATGTACTTTCTATGATTATTTAGACACCATTGACATACGGTGAAGGTAAACATCGTGAGGAAACCTGGACTTATAATTTCTAATTGTAAGTTTGAAATCGCCAACCCGCATTGAGCAAGCGTGGTGATTAATGCTCAAACCTTCTCCATGTGAGAAGAGGCCTTTGCTCAGCAGTGGGCATTTATAGGCTGATGATGAAGAGAGCAAGAAGCAAGCAAACAGACTTAAATTTAAATGAGTGAAGACGAGATAGATGATCACGATGATCGAGATGGATGATATTTACATACAAGTTACAATATAATATATATAAAATAAGTACTCAAACTACATAAAATATTTAACATAAACATATATAATATATACTTATACTTATTATAATCTATACGAATATTATAAAGAGGTAAAATTTGTAAGTTTTTATGTAGGGGGTAATCTTTGGAACCGCTGGTCGGATTGCCGAAATTCTATAAAACATCACGCTACGATTAAATGGAGCCGAGTAGCGGGTGAAATCGTGATAGAGTAGCTAGTATACTATATGGTGGTCACGATTCAGCCAAACCTTTTAGCACGAGCTCATGAAACTGTTTTTTGAAAGTCAAACGACTAGACACCATCCTGATATCCGGAGGGAGCGCATTCCACAGCAAGACAGACTGAAAAAATGGAATTACGAAGGAAAAACTCAAAATAATTTACTTTTTACTTATAAAACTGCCAAATTGTATATTAATTCTTTTTTTTTTTAGAATAATAGGTCGGCAAACGAGCTGACGGATTACCTGATGGTAAGCAATCAGCGCCACCCATGGACACTCGCAACGGAGGAGTTACGAGTGCGTTGCCGACCTTTTAGGGATTAGGGATTTGGAGATTTGGGGATTTAGGAGGGATTGGGGGAGGGGAAGGATTGGGCCTCCGGTAACCTCACTCACACGGCGAAACAACGCTGTGGTTGTTTCACGCCGGTTTTCTGTGAGGCCGTGGTATCACTCCGGTCGAGCCGACCCATTCGTGCCGAAGCATGGCTCTCCCACACTTAAATGTATTCTTTCTCCCTTCAGCTCTGAACAGCTTTCCTTGACCAAGGGCCAACTCCTGGTTGTCCGAAAGAAGGCCGACAGTGGTTGGTGGGAGGGAGAATTGCAAGCCAAAGGGAGGAACAGGCAGGTCGGCTGGTTCCCCGCGAGCTATGTCAAGGTAGGTCTTTTAAGGAAAGTTCGACGGAATACCTGATGGTAAGCAATCGGCGCCGCCCATGGACACCCGCAACGGAGTAGTTACCGAGTAGTTAACGGAGTAGTTACGGTGTCGACTTTTTAGGGATTAGGGATTTGGAGATTTGGGGATTGAGGAGGGATTGGGGGAGGGGAAGGATTTGGCCTCCGGTAACCTCACTCACACGGCGAAATACAACGCTGTAGTTGTTTCACGCCGGTTTTCTGTGAGGCCGTTGTTTTACTCCGGTCGAGCATATTCATTAAAAATCCCAATTCGATCTAAACATTCTAGAAAATGGTTTCTATTAACTCTAACTCTTTTTTTATGAAATAATTCTGCCAACGAGCTGAAGGATTACCTGATGGTAAGCAATCGGCGCCGCCTATGGATACCCGCAACATCAAAGGAGTAACGATTGCGTTTCCGGCCTTTTGGAGATAAGGGTTGCGGATATTTAAGGCTTGGGAAGCGAGGGGCATGGATTGGGCCTCCGAACTCATCCCAACCCACTCTAAAACTGTATTACTTCACTCTAAAAAACCCCAATTAAAGTAATTACTAAACATATATACAATACTAGCAATACTAATACTATATGTCTCCACTATTTAACGGATGTCATTATACATATAAACCTTCCTCTTCAATCACTCTATCTATTAAAAAACCGATTCAAAATCCGTTGCGTAGTTTTAAAGATTTAAGCGTACATAGGGATATAGGGACAGAGAAAGCGACTTTGTTTTATACTGTGTAGTGATTATATAAAAATGTCGTGGTGGCCCGGAGGTTAAGGAGCCCGCTTCTCATGCATGAGGGTGTGGGTTCGAAACCTGGCAAGTACCAATGTGACTTTTTCCAAGTTATATGTACTTTCTATGATTATTTAGACACCACTGACATACGGTGAAGGTAAACATCGTGAGGAAACCTGGACTTATAATTTCTAATTGTAAGTTTGAAATCGCCAACCCGCATTGAGCAAGCGTGGTGATTAATGCTCAAACCTTCTCCGTATGAGAAGAGGCCTTTGCTCAGCAGTGGGCACTTATAGGCTGATGATGATGATGATGATGAGTGATTATATTGTTATATTTATTTAGATACTCCAGTCTTCGGGCCGCACATCAGGTAGAACTACTCCAGTTTTATCCAAAATGGACACGTTGCCAGCTGAAACAGTGATCGATAAGGTAATAAGAATAATTTCCTGAAAATTTTCATTTTTTTTTTAATATGCAAGTACCAATGTGACTTTTTCCGAGTTATATGTACTTTCTATGATTATTTAGACACCACTGACATATAATACGGAGAAGGTAAACATCTTGAAAAAACCTGGACTTGTAATTTCTAATAATAAGTTTGAAATCGCCAATCCGCTTTGAGCAAGCGTTGTGTAATGCTCAAACCTTCTCCGTGTGAGAAGAGGCCTTTGCTCAGCAGTGGGTAGTTATAGGCTGATGATGTTAAGAAGAAGAAGAAGGAGTTACACTAGATATGTCATGGTGTCACATACTAGTTTCTACCAGCGGATTTGCCCGCTTTACTAGGGTATAAATTACCCCATATGTTATTCCAGACTATAATCTATTTTTGTGCCAAATTACATTCAGATCCGTTCAGTAGTGTTTACGTGAGAGAGTAACAAACATACATCCGTACTTACACACTTTCGCGTTTATAATATTTTTGTATAGATAGATGTTCTTAACCTTTATGTATAATAATTCTAACATGTCCATTATGTATACATATTTATAAAATTCGAAACCGCTTGCTCAACTAACGCTTTGCTTCCCACAAAAATAAAATATGTAATATTTCCTATCTGACTACTCAGAGAACCGAAACAAACTCAGAGGTCCGTCTCTTTTTTTATGCCCCACTTTAGGATTTTCTCCTGTGTTGTGGGTGCGTTTACAAACATACAATGTCACATACACATGACACCCAGACCCGGAACTACAATTTGTGGATGACACAAAGTGTTGTTCCGTGCGGGAATCTAACCCGCGACACGTTGCACGGCAGCCAGTTGCCCAGCCACCGCTCCAACCGTGCAGTCGAAACATACCTAAGTCATTTTCAAATATTATTTTTTTGTAATAAACGTTGCCCGACATTAGTATTTTCTCCTGTGTCGTGGGTGCGGTTACAAACATACAATTTCACTTACACATCACACCCAGACCCACGGAACAACAATTTGTGGATCACAAAAAGTGTTCAAAATATTCAATATACGACTTACGTGAGTTAATTGAGATAACCTTTATTGCTACCGAATAAGAGTCCCGTTGTGAGCTTTGAAACTATGGTCAGAATTTTAATTCGATTCCTGATTTGACATTAACCTCTGTCATTTTGTGAAATAATGATACCACATAAAACAATGTAGTGATGAACACAAAAATCGATAAACAATCAGTGAATTAGTTTCAGGAAGACATTCAAAAAATTACGGCTACCGAATGGTCTAAATGCGTATCCCATGTTGTTAAAGAAGAGGAAAAAAGAGTAAGCTAGATATGTTAATTGACAATAAATATCACAGACACGGTTTATAATAAATGTTACATAAAGTAACAGCGATAGCGATGACGGCGACAATTTATAAAATGTCTGTTTTATTTGTCATGTTCCTTCATGATACCATTTTTTATAATTTCACACACAATTACAAAAGAAAAGTCTCAGATCGTTAATTAATTGTCAAAACTAAACTATCGGTTCAGAAATATTTTATAAACTTAGTTTACAAGACTAAATTTATAAACGAGAGGAATCGATTTAGAAATTTTCGATTTCAATATCGAATAATTTCGCAACGTCACTATTTAGTACTTGTCATAACGTTGCAACACTGAAATTGTCAAATCTGGAATGGAATTAAAATTCAGAGTATAGTAGAGCTTTTCTCAGTTAATGTCAGTCAGTCGTTTTTTTTCTTTCGTTCAATAAATTTACTATACATATATAATGATAGTTATACTATTCAAAAAACTATCCACCAGATAATGTTATAGGGTCCTTATACAAGAATGATTGGACACTCAGAATTCTAAAATGAATTTCGAAAATTATAAAAGTGACCTTGGCAAATTGTGTAGTTACGTAGGTCAAAAATAAATTGATTCGACGTTTCAATAATACAATAAAATATTGAAAAATAACTTAAACTTTTATTCATCGATCGATCGATACACTAAGTTTTAGATATTTTGTAGCTAATTATTGAAATAAGTAAGCTATTTAATGCCAAAATACTACGACATCATAACTCAGTTTTTCAAACAAAATTTCATAGAAAAGTATAGTTTTTGGCATTCGGATAAAATTATTGAATTTTACTAGTTGGAAACTACCGTATTATATATATATATAGAAATGACCTTGGAAAAATATAAAAATTACAGGTAATCGCACTATATCCATATACCGCACAAAACGCTGATGAGTTAAGCTTTGAAAAAGATGACATTATTGCCGTCACTGATCGCTCGCAAGACCCGGCGTGGTGGCAAGGTAACTAACATACCGCATGTTAAACAGAAAAGAGACCTAACTCAAAAAATTGTGTATTTCAATCTTAAAAATTATGCTTCAATAATAAGGTTCAATTTTGGGTCATTATAATATCCTTGGTTTGGTCAGTATAATATCCTCATTTTTGAGTTAGGCCTTTTTTTCTATTTAACATGCGAATTACATGTTGAGAGGGCTCTGGAATGATTATGTTTATAGAACTTTATAAAAATGACCTTGACCTTTCTAGTATTTATACTTTGACCTTGACCTATATATCATTTATACTTTGACCTGGACTTTTTTGTGACTTTGACCTTTACCGTGTATTATTTTTATTGTATTTGATAAAAGGTTTACCAACAGCTTCTTTGTAGATAAAACTAAAAGTACATTTTTTTACATTACTTACACCTGGTTTCCGATAGGCCGATTAATGTTAAAATCAATTTAATCTCTTGTCAAGTCATCTGATTGCTTGACTGAATTATCAACAACCAATCAGATGACTTGACAAGAGATTTAACAGGACATTCGTTAATTTTTGCGTTGACAAGCCTTTCTTAAACCGGGTGTGAAACTCGCCTGTTCAAGTCAAGACAAAAATTTTGACCCTTTGACTCGTAATTACAATGACCTTGACCTTGAAATTATAATGACTTGTTTTTCTTATTCATTCCAATGCTCTTTTTTTATAATTAACTTTTTAGTAATATTTATGTATGTATGTATTTTAGAAATCTGCATGAAAATAATGTTTTACTAAAAAACCCCTGTTTTGCTTAATCGACTAATACGAATCGATTCTATCCTTTGTTCTATATTTTTTACTTACAATGTAGTGTCTGCATTTTTTTTACATATGAGTACAATAATATGTATTAAATAATTTACTGGTGAACTTGTTAAGAGTGTATTTTTTCAAAGAGTAACGAATGGAGTTTCTTGCTCGTTCTTCTCCATTCGAAACTACAATTTGGGACGAGCACCTAGCTTCACTGACGAACAGACTGACAGACTACTATTCTATTTTGACGTTTCAAAAGTACCTATTTATGATTTAGTTGGAATAAATTATTTTGACATTGATTTTGTTGAAGAGATATCTATACTAATACTAATATTATAAAAAGGTAAAATTTGTATGTTTGTATGTAGGGGGTAATATTTGGAACCGCTGGTCGGATTGCCAAAATTCTTTCACTGATAGATGGCTACAATGTTCCTGAGTGATATAGGCGTTCCTAAGTGTAGATTCCTCAAAGTCAGAATCAAAATCATTTATTCCAACTAAACCATAAATAGGTACTTTTGAAACGTCAAAACAGAATAGTAGTCTGTCAGTCTGTTCGTCAGTGAAGCTAGGTGCTCGTTCCAAAGTGTAGACTCGAATGGAGAAGAACGAGCAAGAAACTCCATCGTTACTCTTTTGAATCAAATTTCTTTTTTTAATATGATTTTTATTATAATTAATATGTATTTCTCTTTCAGGTGAACTTCGAGGAATGACTGGTTTATTCCCAAGCAATTATGTCACAAAATTAGTCAACTAAATACTAAATGTTTAGTAACACTAATATTGTAATAGTTTAACTACACCGCTTAGTTTATAGGCAAGTGCTTTTAGTGTGGACGAGCCGCTTTGTCGGCGTGATACCACGGTTCTACGCTAAACACGGCGTTTTATCACGCCGGGTGAGTAAAAGGCAGTAGTTGTAGACGCTCAATCTTTTTTTACAATCCCCACAGCATCAAATCTCCAACAACATGTCAACAGTTGGGTAAAATAGTCCCCAGACTTCATCAAATGACTTCTCCCGCCCAAGGTCGGGCTGGAGGGAGTGTCAGACTCTTACTGACTAAAAACCCCCCGTTCCTTCTCCTGCTCTGGGCCGAGGTCGCGGTGCCTCATTGCGCTTACCCCTCCACCCCGGCTGAACATCAGCCCTATAGGGCCCCGTCTGTGGTGGTCTATTGGCTCTTTGAGGCGCGAAGCACTTGCCTAGTTAATAGAGTTCATATAATATAGTAGAGCTATCATAGTTAATACGGTGACTGGTAATAAGTGAAGGATATTTAAAAAAAAAATTTTTGGCTTCTCCCCCGATCCCCAAATCTCCAAAACCCAAATCACCAAAAGGTCAGCAACGCATTCGTAACTCCTCCGTTGTTGCGATTGTCCATGGGCGGCGCTGATTGCTTACCATCAGGTAATCCGTCTGCTCGTTTGATAGTAAAAAAGTTTCACACTGACGTTTTACAATGACGTATTTAAATATATGTCACTTATTACCAAGCACCTTATAATTATAATTGGTTCTTAAATAATTTTCAGCTTATAATAATTAGCACAACTATATACTTAAAATAATTACAAAAAAAAAGCTTAAGCTATCTCAGTGATAGTAAAGTTTTTTTAACGAACAATGTAATGTTAGAATATTAATATTATTAATGTAATTTATTGTTTTAATTAATGTTTAAGATATGAGAGGTATCTCCAAATCTTATATTTCCAACTGTCCACCCGTCCTTTCTTCGCACGGATGCAACGCTGATACTAAATGTCTCCACTATTTAATGGATGTCATTATACATATAAACCTTCCTCTTCAATCACTCTATCTATTAAAAAACCGCATCAAAATCCGTTGCGTAGTTTTAAAGATTTAAGCGTACATAGGGATGTAGGGACAGAGAAAGCGACTTTGTTTTTTACTATGTAGTAAAAAAGTGTTTGAAAATGGAAAATTTAGATTTGTAGTAATCTTTATGTATATCAATTATTGAAAAAATATTGTACCTTTATTTATTTAGACAAATATTGTGTATTACACTGTTGCTATACATAAAAAGTATGTTTCAAATAACTTAAATACACATCAACCACAGCGTTGTGTTTTTTCCGTGTGAGTGAGGTTACCGGAGGACCAATCCTTCCCCTCCCAAAGATGTTGCTTACCATCAGGTAATCCGCCTGCTCATTTGCCGACCTATCAAATAAAAATAATGTTAGCGAAGCCCTAATCCTCGTCCTCCTCCTTCCATGTTCAATCACTCTTTTATCCCCAAATCTCCAACCCCAAATCCCCAAAAGACCAGCAAAGCACTTCTAACTCCTCTGGTGTTGCGAATGTCCATAGGCGCTGATTGCTTTGTTAGATAAATTTATCAGACACTTTTAGCATTGTGACAGTAATTGTTAATATAATTGAGCATTTAAAATTTAAATTTTTATCTTATCTACGTAGACGCGTTGGTTATCCATATAGTAAATAGCGCCATCTGTTGCGCTCTTTACGTAGTTGTAGCGCATATCAGATCCTCATCTGCTTGTAATCGACAGTTTTTTGTCAAGAGATTGCGTCAGTGTTGCTTAAGGTCCTTTTATCGAATAAATTGTTTAGCGATATAAAATGGAATGGACTATTTATTTCTATGAAGAAGCAGAGCTTTTTACAACGGTTTACAAACATATATTTTTACATACATATTACACTTAGATACGGAACAAGAATTTGTGGATCACACAAATAATTATTCAAAGTTAAAATTAGTAGACCCTCACAGGCACTTCTGAACGTCAAATCAAAGATAAAAATTGTCAGTCTGTCGATCAGTCCTCTAGTGAAGCTATTTGCTCGTTCCAAAGTGTAGATTCCTATGGAGAAGAACGAGCAAGAAACTCCATGGTTACTCTTTTTCAATCACTTTCACATACAGATTCTTTTCTTACATTCGTTCTGTGGTGGTATATCACCCGCGACACAGTTACCCATCCAAAGTCTAAGTCGATAAAGAGGACCTAATGCGTCACTACCGCCATCTAGTAGTCAAAAAACTAAATCTAACATTTAAAGTACCTGTTATACATTTAAAATGCTCTGTAGATGTTTTTTTTTTTTTTTTTGGAGTTTATGGCCTGGATACGAGTCCTTTAAGCCAACTCTGTAGATGTTTTTGCCAGCATAATGTTGCCATTTTAATTATTATTATTATATAATCAAATCAGGTATTGTTATTAAAAAAATATGTTAAAAAATAAATAATGTGTTATCAGTAGTTGATTGAAATAGGAATAAATGTTATATTAGCACTATTTTGTTGTTGTTTTTTTCAATAACCTTTAAATGTAAGCTGTTTTTTTTTTAGTAACTAAGAGACAGGTAGAGCCTTGGGCGAAGATAGCAAAAAAAATTACGAGATTTTCAAGTGAAAAATAGATTTTTTTTTTTCTAGCTTGGCTTAAGTATATTTTTCAACAATGTAAACAATGGATTTATTAATGCAAATAGGCCATAAAACAGCGATTTTCACGTCAACATTACTTATATGAAAAACTAGATGAAGCCAGCATTTCCTATCTGACTACTCTAAGAAGAAATGCCGAAACAAACTCAGAGGTCCGTCTCTATTAAAGTCCAGACAAATACAAATATAATGTGAGAACCGTGCAAGTTCATTTTGTAGTGGTCTTTTGAGGAACGAACCACACCAGTTTAAGTGTAGGATTTTTAAGGCACACGGAATTACCACACAATTTGATTTTTTTTCTGACTACATAATGATGATAAAGTTTAAGAAATATTCCATTATTTATTGGCAGATATTATGTGTATAACTATTTTTAGGCAACAAAATCATCAAATTTCCCGCCTTGGGTGGTTTTTAATCAGACTCCTTCTTTTTTTTGGTATCGGGTTGGAAAATCCTCATGGAGACCCACCGCCCCCGGGGGAGGGCGAGGTGTACTGTCAGACTCTTACTGACTAAAAACCAACCTGGTGTTCCTCCACTTACCCACGTGTCGGAGGGGCGGGTATCGCCGAAGCATTCGTCGCATTCCCCACTCTTACCGACTAAAACCCACCCCATTTCTTCTCCTACCACAGTACGTTATTGCGCTTGTATCCTTTGAGGGAGAAAATCATCAAAAATCATCAATGATGATGATGAATAATTTCGAAGAAGGTCCTAACTTACAACATAGCTGGTTTTTGATCACCCTTCAGGCTACCCTCTAGTAAACACACGTCGTGGGGGAAGTAAAAATACAAATCATTTACTTCAAATAGACAACTAAGTATATGCAGTTTTCAATGTCTGATCTGTGCACCAGGATCTGCAGTAGATACAACCATGAAAACACAGGAACACTGAAGTCCGGCGCGTCCCAGGGACATGAATGACTGTCTTGGATCCCGCAACGAAATAAATCAGAAGATATTATTTGAGAAAAAATTAATGGCTCAAGTTGAAGGCCCAATCCTACCCCTACCACAATCCGTTCCCTTTCCCAAAGTCTCCAGGGGATCGACAACGCACTCGTGACTCCTCCCTCGTTGCGGGTGTCCATGAGCGACACTGGTTGCTTGCCACCAGGTAGTTCGGTAGCTCGTTTGCCGACCTGTCACATAAAAAAAAATTTGGAGGTCAAACGCCATCCCTTTAAAATACAGCCATGGCCAAAAGTATTGAGCACCTTCGCTCGCCCACGGTAAGTCTTGTTTTTATGTGATAGGTTTGGAAACGAGCGGAAGGATTATCTTGATGGTTACCGAGCGGCACCACCAGAGGAGTTACGAGTGCGTTGCCTGCCTCTGGGTTTCGCAGATCCAGGGATTGCGGAGGAATGGGGTTGAGGAAGGATTGGGCTTCCAGTAAAGTCACTCACACGGCGAAACACAGCCCTGTGGTTGTTTCACGCTGGTTTTCTATGAGGACCCATTCATGACTCTCCCACATTTCAGAAAGAAGGAGAAATCCCTATGTACCTATGTATTGTCGGCCATACTAGGATTTTCTCCTGTGTCATAGGGTTTACAATTCAAAAAAACCACCCGACCCGAAACAACGATGTGCGGATTACACGATATTATTTGTTCCGTCCCGGAATTGGACCCGCGATACGTTCCACACGCACAGCAGGCAGTTTTCCAGCCACTACGCTTACCGTGAAAATCACTCGTTCTTTTCGGTCGAAAGCTGGAAATATAACAGTGACTATCTACACACTGACATACGGTGAAGGAAAACATCGTGAGGAAACCTGGACTTGTAATTTCTAATTAGTACATATAAGTTTCAAATCGCCAATCCGCCTTGAGCAAGCTTTGTGATTAATGCTCAAACCTTCTCCGTGTGAGAAGAGGCCTTTGCTCAGCAGTGGGTACTTATAGGCTGATGATGATGATGATGATGAGTCGGTAAATAATTTGGCACTAGATCTACACGTGTTTCGTAATGTCAATTTTCTTGATGAAGACGAAAATGTATATCAATGCTAGGCATTATTCATTATTCATATTCATTATTCATTATTGTGACCGAGTGGTCCACCCGCCGACCGCGCGAGACCTTATAATCTTATGACCGAGGCGATCTGGTGACGCTATGGAGTTGATGTAGTCAGTGCATAAAAGACCATTGAAAGAATACTAGCCGCAGGAGAGTCGGTGCGCAGTGAGTGACTCTATTTTTTTTTGTGACCGGAAAATTATCAAACGATTTTTTTTATTATAACTTTCGTGAGACATTCTAAATTATTTATTATGTTTTCGGCTTACTCACGTAATAATTTGACGAGATACTCGACTAGTTTCAAGCCATGCTAGAAGCCCATATTCATGAGCAGCATTCCGCGACACGCGACTCGGCGACTGTCGCGCTGCTACTCTACGTGAGTGACATGACGTGAGTAGGCCGAAAACATAATAAATAATTATCAAATGACTTCCTCTTCTCCTTCTTGACTACTCCTTCCTTTCTCTTACTGACTGATAACCATCCCGTTCTTGTTCTGCTCTGCCTATGATGTTAATTTGCAGTTCCTCTAGCGTAGAAGGAACTGGATTTTGTAGATTTGGCAATAGAAACAAAAAAAACATTTAAGTAGGTAGTTATAGTAATACTTCCTTCCTCCGGAAGGTGAAGGAGAGAATCGATAGTTTTTAAAAAAATGTTATGCATTACTTTTTTTTGTGCACTACCATGACAGATTGATAGTGTATACACAGTGTGTCTGTGGTAATTAAAGGATTTTTATCTCTTGATAGAATCTAAACGCCTTCAAAACCCGAAGTTAGTACCTATATATATTTTTTTTATTTCTGTGATTTTAATGGTATTTATGTAAGTGTATATTTCTTTATCAGTAATATCTCGATTTTGCTTGCTTCTTGCACCTAATGTTATCTCTGCATCGCCCAAAGGTTCGACTGGGGGAGAATTCCTGTGGCATTAAGTCCACCTTGTACCTACACAAATGAATGTATAAAAAAACCTCCAACTGTTGGAGATTTTTTGCAACAACGATGAAGTCAGCAGATTTTTTATTGCACCTTCTTTAGGGACAAAA